AAAAAAAAAAAAAAAAAAAAGTTACAAAGTGGCAAAATTGCTTTACAAACAGGTACTTTTTCACTGCTTTCAAACTCTTATTGAGTTCGCATTTGCATACAAAAAGTGGATAAATTCGGTGACACCATTTGGATGGGAACATCCAAGGTATAAGCCATTATACAACAAAGTAGCCTTACAACTATCAAAATGAATGTTTATTGTCATTCGGATGGTGAAAATAATATTTGGCCACTATTCGCATGCAAATTATTTTGCAAGGAAACCAAAAGGTGAATAGTTTTTAATGGTAAAACGCAGAAAATTTTATCATGAATTGTAGACTTTTGCTAAAAAAAAAAAAAAAATATTTTTTCCTAGGGATATACACATGTAGATAGTAGGTACACGCTTTGCGAGATGAAAATCGATTCCACTTCATGAAGGTGCACACATTTACACAGCGTATATATATATACGCGGCAGGGGCGGGAGGGGGGAGGGGGGTGCAGTCAGTCCGATCACTCCGATCTCGTCAGTCGTCAGAGCTTGCGGCCCGTTTTCACGCTGTTGCTTGTATGTATATATGTGCACTTTTGGGCCTTATTGTACTTATATATCATCGCGAAGGCGACGAGAGAGCTCGAGGAATAAGCCTATACATATACATATATATATGATGTTTGAAAGCATCATTTCCGTTATTTATGACCTTTTTCCTGCTGTTATTGTCGCATATTTGCGAGAGTAAGTAAATACAAGAGCCCCAAGCTCTCTCGAATCCGTTGGTCTTTCCTCCTTTTCTTTGCCGTGTGCCGTTTATCGCAGTGAGTTGTTGTACACACAGATGATGGGAGACGAGCTCGAGTACCACTTCACCTTTCCCCCCGGCACGGGTGCTGGGAGCGTCAAGTCGGGATCGTCGTCGAGAGAACCTTCGCTGGGCACCACGGCCAGCCGCGGCAATCGTCCTGGCAACACCGACAACGAAGAGTCGTCGGCCTCGTCCCAGGGATCGTCCGATGACTTTGTGTTTGTCTACGACGAGGCCAAGAGACCCCTCGTCGTGTTGCTCGGCTGGGCTGGCTGCCAGGACAAGTATCTCGCCAAGTACAGCGCTATTTACGAGGAGAGGAGGTGGGGCTAGTCCTCTATTTTTTTTTTTTCTTTCCTTTTTTTTGTTCCATCTCAGGAAATCGCTCCTCCGGTTGGCCGTTCATGTAATTTTTTTTTTTTCCCTCCCCCAAAGTAGGTCGAACGGGGGATGCTGGGCTGATCGCTTGAGAATATTGTCACCGCGCTCACAAACATCGATCGGGCTGTAAAATAGACAATCGACTCATCACTTTTCTTTTTATGGGGAAACAAATAATAATGATGATGATTTGATGGCTTTAATTTGTTTCGTGTGTTTCGATGCACTTTATATCTGTCGGAACGATTGGTCTACATACGGTCAATGATGTCCTGTAACCTATAATATAACAAAGACGCACTGTCACTTAATAGGTAATTTTTCATCGTTCCGACAAATATGAAGTGCCTCGAGTGTACTTATATAAGGTGTAATATAAGGTTAATATAATATATACACCTGGTACATCATTTAATTATATATACATGTATATGGGTACCTTTCATGTAATTTATTGTGTCACAAGTACGTATATCTTTATTGTCATGGTAAAAAAAAAACAAAACAATACAGTGTTGAAATTCGAACGCGTATCGTGAAGAAAGAATGTGCTTGTACCGTCCAACCGCTGCAAATAACTTTTCGCACTTCGGAAGGTAAAAAAAAAAAGTTTATTTTTCGCGTCGGCCACGACAAAACAGCTTGGATTTCAAAAACTTATGTGTTCGATGGTTAGGTGTACTGTTCGATACGCCTCGGTTGGATGTGCGTGTCGTTAAAGGTGCATAAATAATGAGATCGTGGATAATGTACGTGTATGTGTGCGACTGTATGTGCTCATGTATATAGGTATATAGCGATAGGATTCCTCTCGGAGGAAGCACGATGATAAAATTACACGAATGGACTTACTTTACATCGCAAAGTGCACTCGCGCGCGCACACGTTATACATTTACCTTATTATATATACTTACATGAGCGCGTGGTGGCTCGGTCGGCTAGGTCGTGGATTGACACGCGGGAGACCGTAGTTCAATTCCCGGCCAGTGCGACATTGTCGGGCAAGTACCTCTGTGATTGTTCACATGTGCTTTTTCACCACGCAATGCTCCTCGAGGAGGGTTTAGGCGACCTCCTCGCAGCAAAATTGCCTAATTCCCCCTACCCCCCCTCCCAGTAATGGGGGGGCCACCCATCCCTTTCCTTGTCCCTTTCCCAAGTGCTAAGTGCCCATAGTAGTGCTCTTAATAAAGGAGCCGGACGTAGAGCACTATTAATATAAAAAAAAAAAAAATATATACTTACATGGACGACGCAAACTTTGACTTTGACATTGTTGCTATACTATTTTCATCGTATATTATATAATTAAGTACATAGCTTTACGGCGTCAAACTATTCGTGGTCAGCACTGTGTACTCGTTACTAATGCATATACAACGTACAACGACCTCATTCATACATTAACGATGTGAATTTGCATATATGTTTGTTTTTTTTTTTTTTTTTTTTTTTATTCGTTATTACCTTCGTAGGTTTATTTTGCACAAGGCGTTTTTAACGGTCTTTGTGATTCATTGAAAAATATATACTCGCGATAACATCAAATCCTTGAACGAGTTCTATTTTCCAGCGCTTACATGCGAGAGAACCGAAAAAGTTTAATACTCGTATACACGTTCGTAATAGAAAATGTTGTTTTACACGTTGAAAAAAAAAAAAAAAAAAAAAAAAGTTACAAAGTGGCAAAATTGCTTTACAAACAGGTACTTTTTCACTGCTTTCAAACTCTTATTGAGTTCGCATTTGCATACAAAAAGTGGATAAATTCGGTGACACCATTTGGATGGGAACATCCAAGGTATAAGCCATTATACAACAAAGTAGCCTTACAACTATCAAAATGAATGTTTATTGTCATTCGGATGGTGAAAATAATATTTGGCCACTATTCGCATGCAAATTATTTTGCAAGGAAACCAAAAGGTGAATAGTTTTTAATGGTAAAACGCAGAAAATTTTATCATGAATTGTAGACTTTTGCTAAAAAAAAAAAAAAAATATTTTTTCCTAGGGATATACACATGTAGATAGTAGGTACACGCTTTGCGAGATGAAAATCGATTCCACTTCATGAAGGTGCACACATTTACACAGCGTATATATATATACGCGGGCGTTACGTAACGCTGCAATCCGGATAGCGATTGATGTTTTTTAAAACATCTCTCGCCACACACCAGTATACGTTCGTTAAAAAACGAAGGAAAAAAAAAAGAATCTCCTGTTTTTTTTTTTCAGCTGCATAACGCTACGGTGTACCGCGCCCCTGGCGTGCTTGTTTTATCGTAGGCACAAGCTACCCTCGATGAGTAAGCGGTTGCTCAAAGTAATCACTGAAAAATGCTCGGACGGGAGACCAGTGTTCTTTCACGTGTTTAGCAACGGAGGGGCTATATTTTATCAGCACATCAGCTCGGCCATGCAACAAGCGGGCTCGCCGATCAAGGTGATTTTTATGCACGACATGCAAATATAATTATTATGTATGATGAAATCGATGGAAAATACGAATTTTTCTGTTATTTTTTGATTTTATAAATATATTGAAAATCACAAATATGACAAAAGAATGGCGGTGGCACTTTTTCAGAGCTGTGAAAGTTAAGCTCGTGAAAAATCGTCCGAAAGAATGTACCTCGTAATGACTCGGGTTTTTTTTTTTTTTTTTTTTTTTTTTTTTTTTTTTTTTTTCCCAAGAATAAAACCAATTATGTTTTCATTAATTCTCTGATTCATTTCGTTTCAAATATCATGCGGTTAATGAGAAAATTCGAGATATTAAAAACATTAAGAGCTTTGAGAGTTATTTCTCTTCACTATATAGTCTATTTTGAAAATCGATGGTTCGGAGATAAAGAATACACGCTGAAACGTAAGTTACAAAAAGTGATCGATGAAATGAATCCTGATTTTTTTACTTTAATGAGTAGGTGATTTTTTGCGTTAATTTCAAGAGTAAACTAGTAATCGAATGTCATTATTTTTCGACTCCACAAGTATCTCTTTGGAACCGTGTTTTTGAAGTGTGTATTGTCAAAATTAATGAACCAACTTTTTGAAAGGAATTTTTTCCATTGATTGAATGATTTTTTGCACGAAATAAAACAAAGTAATAAACATGTGCTTAAAAAAAATTTTTTTTTTTTCTGTTGAAGCAATAAAACTTCTGATTTTCCGAAAGTACGTACATTAGAGGAGTACTACAATATTTCCTATGACATTATCGCTCGTATAGTAGTTAAAGGGTCCATGGGAGGCCAGTAGAAATATTATATATTTGTATAACTTGCAGCGATTCAACGTGCAATACACGGCACGCCATCGGAGAGTCAATGAAGCGCGCATAATGCCATTTGCTTGGATTGTTAATAAGCGGATTTTAGCTGTTATACCTACTCACTCATTACAAGTGTTTTTTTTTTTTTTTTTTTTTTTTAGTTTGCACGGTTAAAGCAATAAACTATAGAATGTGATTTTCCAAAATAATAGCAATACTATCAAGAGTGATGAAACTGATTTTTTTTTTATTTTTTATTATTATTATTTATTTTTTGTTACTTAGGTCGAAGGCGTGATTTTTGACAGTTCACCCGGGCAGAGACGAATAATGAGCCTTTACCGGGCAATCAGTGCTGTCATGGGTGGCAACGTGATTACGAACGTACCGGTGTCGTTTGCGTTCACGCTTTTCCTCTCGATATTTTGGTTCATCGAGGTACGTATTTTTAATTATTCTTGTCATTCCTATTTTTTTTCAACATATCTATTTGGTTGTTTCAAAATTTTTGGTAAAAAATGGTCAGCTCGTAAGTAAGATGGTTTTGTTTTTTTTTAAGTTTTTATGTAAAAAATCCCATAAAAAGATACCTTTGTCATTTCTCGCGTCAATTACTTTTGAAATGAAATCAGAAGTAAGATTTATCATAAAATTGAAAATCTTTTTTTTTTTTCAATTTTACTGGAAGATTAACTTGCAAATTCCGAAAAAATGAAGTTGGAATAATTATTGTGCGTTTCAATTACAGCTAGGAGTGTCAATCGAATTTATTTTTCACCCATATAGATACGTTTCGGGTCTGACACAGCAAAAAAAAGGAAATAAAAGTTTTAATATAAGTACCGTCTGGGTCTATTGAGCACGTAATGTATACATAGATTCTCGTGAAACATTATTCACATATCCATGGTTAAATCTAAATTTCGCGAACAGAAATTGGTGGATTTATTTTTCTTCTCTGATCAAGTATATTATTTTGAAAAAAAAAAAAAAGGTAAAAAAATTACCAATTGCTGTGCATAACACGTAAACTCCTATCGTGCCCTACAGATTGTAATGCATTCCTTGGGAAGCAAAAACACCGTCTACACGGACCCAACTGCGCTCACCGAGGAAAAGTATTCCTGTCCACAGTTGTTCCTCTACTCAAACGCCGACAAAATGGTTAGCGCTAGTGTAAGTACCACCAATTTTTACTAATAAAAAAAAAAATGTAAGTATAATAATTAAAAAAAATAAATAAATAAATACGTATTCCTGACAGGACGTAGAAAAATTTGCGAGAAAGCGAGCCGAGCGCGGAGTCCGTACGCAGCTGGTGTTGTTCGCGAATTCGCCGCACGTGAAGCACTACGCGGCATACCGGGATGTGTACGTGAACGCGGTCTGCGGCTTCATCAACGAGTGCCTGATGAACGAGCGGCCGGCCGGCTCACATCGAAGCACAGCAGACAACAAGGACGACTGCAGTGACGATGGAAAGGACGCTAACAGTGAAAGAATTTGCAGCGACAAAAGTTTAACGGACTCTCCGTTGACGACGCCTAAGCTCACCAAGAGGATCGTTCGGGTCGATGAGGCGACCCTTACCAGCCAATGAATGCATGCGCATGTATGTATATCATGTACGTGTATTTATATTGACATATAAATGTGTACACTTCATTAATTTGAAACATGTTATATTTTATCATATGTACGTGCGTCATGCCAATGTTTGCTATACTATACGTGCTTCGAAAGGCGCGCGAAACAAAGGAGAATTTTTTTTGGTATAAATTATTACGGCATAGCATATCATAGAAGCGCAACTCTATAGGTCATGAAAATTTTGTTAACACTTATAGGAAAATTGTATCTTTGTTCCCCTTATATTTTCACTTGGTGAGGTATATTGTAAAATCTGCCTGACTATATGATCGATACGCGGACATTTAACTAATTAATAGTGATACATTGGTGATCAGATAATAATATATAATATATGTATGTTACATATGTCCCAATTCGTTGTGTTGATTAATATTAAAATTGATGTATTGCATACCTCCTGGCGAATAACGAAAAATTTTGAGGTACAGAGTTGTGATAGAAGTATATGCATATGAGTATTTTTTTAACTTTTTGTGTCCGTTCAATGTTATAACATATATGTTGATATGCATATGTGGTGTCGTATGCGACAAAGGCGATGCGTTACGTTATATGTGGTGCGTACAAAAGTTCACGCGGATCAAATAATTTCAATTTTCATTGTATTTCTACAAGTATGTGGACGATTATTATGTTGTTCGAGTACAAAAGAAAAGTTCGAATATGTATGTGAACGATTTTTTAACTTGAAATATATTTTTATACTTATACAAAATGCATCGACAAAATCAATGATAAGTATTACCATGCAAGCTCAAATTTTACAAGTTTATACACAAAAAATATGTACAATATGAGTTAAAAAATCGAAATTGACTGTTTCATATAACACAAATCACAAATCTGCACAGCTTTTCTCTGATATTATTACTCAACGTTTTATGTTGTATGTGAAAGTATGTACATATAAGTGTACATGTGCTTTTGGAAAACGAATATATTCTGGCGAAATGTTATAAATTTTTTAAATTAAATTTCATTTTTCCAAACTTGTTTGTTTTCAAAAATTTTTTAGAAACATTATACACATATGTTACATAAAATTAATTTTGATACAAAGCGTTTATTACCAAAATTGGTTGTTACTAAACATAAAGTACCAAAATCTGTTGACAACTTCAATATTTTCGTAAAAAGTTATTGATTGGTACCTCAAATTGATACATACAAATTATTATTTACAGTAAACAAAAAATGTTCATATGATATCGATGTACAAATTAAAGTAATTTTATTACACAAAAAAGAAAAACTTTTAACAAAGTGATGACGAAACTATAATTTAAGAAGCATTTAAAATTCAAATGGCAGATGTTGTTTATTTATAAAATTTATTTTTTACTGTAGGATATCACAAAAATAATATGGTATCAATTTCTATGGATGTTCACATAAATATATAGTGATAGCAGGTAACATATTACAACTTGTAATTACACTTTTTGGTAAAAATTTTGTTGTTTAAATCATAAATATATTTTCAAATCGTAGGATTCATCACTATTATACAAACGTAGTTAAAAATATGTAGAAAAAATAAAATAAAATAAAATAACATGTAAATATAAAATAATTGTATGTGAAAACCATCAAGCTGGCCTTGATCTGGCTTACACAATAAATCAGTGGACATAAGAATCTATCTTCAACGTTTATTGTTCAGCAGTTGTTATACATAAATATCCCCATATATGAGAATATTTATATTTTGGTGTGATAATTATCAATGAATAAAGACTGAGTAGTGTCACAAAATGTCTTTACTTTCGTTTGATACTTCAATCGAGCATTTTCCTTGTTAACTACCTTGTGCATAAGTGTTTCTCGCAACATAATTAAAAATATAAAAATAAGTGAATAACTAAAAAAAAAAACTTTAATGCTTTTACATGGGTAACTGTAGGAATACAAAACATCCAATTACAGCATATGCATATAACATGAAAAATTATACGATGTATTTATTGATGGTTTAAGTTTTTTTCATTATTCGTCTTAAAACGTTAAAAAAATAAAAAAGTCAAATCAACTGCTAAAAGGTTTTTTTTTTTTTTTTGTTGGAAGTTGTGATTAAGATGACAAAAAAGTGTATTTTAAATACTGTTTTTAGAGGTTTACAATTGCTAAGATTAGCTTTAAATGAGATTTTCTTCATGATAGAGAAAAAAAAGCCGTTATTCTTTCAGACCGTCTTCCCTTTTGTTTTTGTCAAATAATTGGTGGGCTTCATTTGCAAACAACTTCTCTCCTGTTTTTCTCTCTCATGACAAACCCACGGAATGACAGCTGCTGGCACAGTGCGACACACATTTTAAAAGACAAAAAAATCATAGTTTTACCAGTCGCCGAATAGGTATTCGGGAAATACCGCGGACAAACATCAAAACTGGCGAACGAACGCATTGGGAGTCGCAAAACTGCAGTCCCCAAATCAAAATCACTTGCCGGCTCGATCGAGACTTACAAGCGAATCAATGCCCTCACTGTTTTCGTCGACGATGACAACGCGGAAGCGGAGCTCGACAAAAAACCGCAGCCCAACAAGGAGAAGATAAAGAAGTGAGTCTATCTGTATGTGCTTATGTTCCAAAAATCAAGCTCATCCCTTACAAGATGCATCAAGACTCATTAAAGCTACACGTAATGGATGATGAGCTTGACTTTTGGAATCCAGGCCAATGTCGTTTCATCGATCCATTGTTTAAGGTACAAATTTAAAATTGAACGCTTGGGAAGCCAAACGCTTCCAAGGACGCGCAGAGAGAGCAAAACGACGCCTGACGATCAGTCCAAAGAAGAGAAAAGCGTTGGCTCAAAGAGTCAAAGAATGACTCTGGGTACGAAGAAATCGACCTCGAGTCACTCGTGCTCAAAGGACCATCAGGTTTGAATGCTCTTGCTTGATGAGAGTAATCATGGCCAATAAAGCCGTAATGGGGGAATTTCAATTTTCCAGGCTAGAGAGAAGCTTTCGATGGAAAAGCGGATGCAGTCGCTCAAAAAAAACATAAAACGAATACCGGCGACCACAAAGTACATTTACACCATCGACGATGATGTTCTCGGGATCAATAACAGTTGCAACGTTAACGGTACCAAAGATCTCGAGTATGGTATGTGGTGTCGATAGTAGCAAAATTGTAAAATCGTTGAATCATCCCAGGAGTCGCGGCGTGCAAGGTGAAGAAGCGAGAGCCAAATTATTTGAGACTTCAGGGGACGAAGGTACTGCCTGTTAAGGATGCTGAGTTATTGGAAATAGAAGAGGAGTTGAAAAGCATGCAGACTCACAAAAAAAAGATCAACCAACTCATCTACAAAGAGTTAAAAGATTCCTCGTCAGATTGGCACGAGCTTAAATCGAAATCCAGTTTGATCAACATGAAGAACGTGATGAATGATTTTTCGTACGCCAGGAAGTTGTGCGACTCGCTGGAGAAGTCGTCGAGGCAGGTTGACAATCTTCATCGCCTCTTTGGTGGATTGGGCAGTTTTAAACAGAGCCAATCTGAGGATGATGGTGGTGGTCCTGCTGGTAATTACGAACTTGAACAGGGACGAGGAGATGACAGCTGTAGGGCTCTTGTGCTGAAAAAGGAAGATACATCAGGGAGCAGTTTCCGTGGGACGATTGATTCCTTGATTCCGGATTCAAATACTCCTTTAGAGGAAGCAAGTTTATCAGAGGCCAAAAACTTTGATTATGGAAAGGAAAAAAGGTGTTCAGACTCCATTGATGGCACAGTAAAAATGTTTTCAAGTTTGAGCGTGTCTGCCAGTCCGAGAAGAAATGTTTTTACCTTTCACAATCAACTTAAGGAGACACCACTCGGTAAAAAGTCATTGGACCTTGAGCCTCAAAATAATCAAGGAACTAGTCGGAATACGTATGCGTTTGATCAAGCTGATCCAAATAATTCAACGTGTTTTAAAAACAAGAGTATATTTTTGAATAATAGGTTACCAGACTTTTCAAAATCAGAATATTTGCGTAAAACTATTATTTTTGACTGATAATTTACATTTTGTATATTTACATGTCGGTTAGTCTTGTGTAAATTTTCCTCAATAAAGATATACACTAAAAAAAATCGTTAACAAATAAATTTCATATTTTTGTAAATTTCATGATACATTAGTCAGATAAGACTGTAGATTCTTTCAGGAACTAGCACGATGCGTTCAAAGTTGCAGCACCTTTAAATATATTCTTAGAAATTTTAACTTTGTCCTTTCAACATGCTACTCACGTTATTAATACATTCGTATGTACAAGCCGTCTGTGTTATATAATGTACAAATTTCCTTATTAAAATAAGAATATAACATCACTTTTTATTATCACACACCACTCAGTTAATATCAATCGTAATTTCATTGAATGTTGCGGTAACGCGGAACTTTATTTTAACACTTATGATATGCCAAACACTGTATTATATTGAAATTCGATGTTATTTTCCTAAAACACTCAAAATTCAGTCTTTACTCAATAAACACTGTGCTCCCTTGAATCGTTTGGCGAATCAATCAACCAAGCCGATTGTTCCTGCAAATATCACAAAACTGGCTGCGCTGAGCTATGACTTTGGTATATTATGGCCCCTGTGAAGTTTATAGCCGCCGCTAATATGAATACCGGCAACCATCGACCATGTGACGCTGTTACGAGTTCAGCAGTCAGTGGCCCACACAAAATTCCAGGTATCGTTGCCTAAAGTAAAGGCAATATTTATTATTTCAATCAAATTTCATTAAAAGTACTTAACATAGCATAAAAACCGCAAGTTACTCACTATGGTATTGGACACAGCAAAAGTTATACCGGCATGATTGGGTGCAATGTCTGCGTGGTTGCTAAGGTGGCCAGCAGAATTACACGCACACAAACCCATTGATATAGAAATAAATCTAAAAATTAAAATTGACAAGTCAACACATATGCAGCTTGGATAAATGGTTAGCTACATGAAGGAATAAAACTTACATTACTGCCAACAGCAGATTGTCCACAGCACAAAACGCTAATAAAAACGCACCTGGCCCTATGAGGCCAATATTTGTCATGAGCCTTCTCACTGATAAGACTGACCATCTTTTTTGTATGAGATTATCAGCACTATGACCAGCCACTAATCGTATGAAAAATAAGAGTTAGAACAAATTTCTGAATGCATAACATAAAAGAGTAAAAAGAAATAATTACCAATGCCAACAAGAGAATTAACAATGTAAGGCAATGCCGTCAAACTTATGCTTTCTTTATTTGCATATAAATTTCTAGAAAGATAAGTAGGTAACCACTGCATAATAATATAGTTGCTCCAGTTCATAGCAAAATGAGCTATATACAGGGCCCAAAGAGGCCAGTGAACAATAAATTCAGTCCATCTTAAAGCTCGGTTTGTTGAGACCTAGTCAAGATAATATGATTGAATAAAAATTTTTAGGAATCAGCCAAGTTAAATTACAAATAAGCATTTTTTTTCCTATTACCTTGGGCAAAAAAATAGGAATTTCTTCTTGCTGCTTTGTTTCCTTGTAAAGTATAAGCCACAAAAAAGTCCATAAAATACCAAAAGAGCCAAACAAATAGAATCCACTTTGCCAAGATATATGAGGACACAGCTGCAATAACAGAGTTCAATAAAATGCTATCACGCAATAAACTTTTAAATGTTTTTTGTAACTCACAACAGATGCCACAACTTGACCAATAGATCCAGCAGCAACAAGATAGCCAAAGGCTCTAGACCTCTCTTCTACTGGCACGCTGTGAGCAAACAGATGGAATATAACTGGCAAACCTGCAAGAAGACGTACATGTACAAAAATAAATTAAAATTTTCTTGTTCTTGTAACATAGACCAACAAAAACAGTTAGAAGTAATAGGCTCACAAACATTAGAAATAATTAAAAAACTAGGCTCACCTAGACCTTCTCCAAGTCCTAAGACAACCCTGGTAGCAATAAGCAATGGCACAGACTGAGCTACAAGTGGGGTGATCACAGTGCTGATAGACCAAAGCATTACAGCTGCCATTAGTACAGTTTTGCATCCAAAACGACTAGCTGTATTGGCTCCGATGATCTAAAAGTTGAATAATTGGTACTTTTAGCTTCAACAACGTCTCAAATATTACACTGTCAAAGAAAAGTCACTCACCTGACTGGTAAAATAACCAAAGGCAAAAGCCGAGAGGATCCAACCCTGCCAGTGCAGATTCCACTTAAACTCGTCGGTCATGGGGACAATGGCTATGGGCATTATGACACGATCTGCCGCGTTGATGAAGTTCGCCGCCGAGCAGAGGGCGACGATCCGCGAAGTTCGCGGCAGCATGGACAATCGTGGCATGCTGTCTATGGTTTTTTCCGTCTCTCTTTGTGTTATTGAGTAATAATTTTTCAAAAATTCTAAGGTACCGTCAGACTCTGAGCGTTTGACTTATGGAAAGCCCAAGATCTGCATCTGCAATAAAAGGATTAATTAAATTATAAGTACACAACAAGTGTGTGTTCTGTTTGGGTGCAATATTTAAGAATAAATTGTGAGTTTTACCTCTGTGACTTGAGTCCATTGGCAGCAGCAGCAGCATGTCGTGATCATATATATAAACTAAATTCGCGCTATTCCGAAACACAGCTTGAACGAAATCTCGTCCACGTCAACATATTGAGGAATAACTTCAGTTTACTCAGCCGTAACGCTTGTTATTGGTTGTATGCGTACAACTGCACTATAGTTATTTCTTCCTGTATTAATTTTTTTTTTTTTACAACTAAGACGCGAACAGCGAGTGTTTAAAGTAAACTGAATTAAAGTACATCTATAATTTGTTTGCTGACTTTTGAATACATATAACCTATTTTAGACTCCGTTTTTTTTAGAGAATATAATATAAGCTATAAAATGTAGAATTCTGCCGTGTAAAATACACACAAGGCGAGAGCTGCCGAGGAGGCCCGACTACACTCGTTATAATATAGGCCTGCGAAGCAACTAAAAGTAGGTATATAATATGGCCCCCGATATTTCGCAGTTCGTTGACATATTACAAATGAAAGAAATTAGTTTTCATTTTTAATTAAACTTAATGGCCTTGTCACTGTGGCATTGCATCTTTTACATTGGCCGCAATCTCCCTATACACATATGCGCATATATACTTTCATCAATTGTAATGTATTGTAATGTATTCATAATGTATGTATACACCAGCCGCAACTAATTTTATAGATACTATGAAATAAAAAGTAGACGTTGTCTGTGCTGTTTGTGGCAAGTGGACAATTTATCTTTTACCTAAAAATGATAAGTAAAATATTTTTACTTTTGGAGGTCACTTTATGGGTAAAAAATAAATTGTAAACTTGCCGCAAATAGCACAAATTATGTTAACGTTTTATTGTCTATCTAAAAAATTATTTGCGGCTGGTTTATTATTATCAAAATGACTCTACTGTAAATAGTAATAGTATTAATTATTTTGATCAGCGCCATCTAGCGGTCTTTATTTTTGGCCAAAAGTGGCTCCTAAAATTCTCAATCAGAGCAATCAGGATTAGAGCCATTTAGTCAATTATAAACCAGCCGCAACTCACTTGGTAGCTAGAAAATGAAAAAATAACGATACATGTGTTTTTGGCGGCAAGTTAACAATCTATTTTTTATCAAAAAATTGATCTCCTATGTATTTATACTTTTGAAGATAAAATTTCGGCAAAAGATAGATTGTTAACTTGCCGCCAAAAACACATGTATCGTTATTTTTTTATTTTATAGCCTCCAAAATAAGTTGCGGCTGGTTTATAATTGACTAAATGGCTCTAATCCTGATAGCTCTGATTCAGAATTTTAGGAGCCACTTTTGGCCAAAAAATTGAGACCGCTAGATGGCGCTGATCCAAATAATTATTACTATTTACAGTAGAGCCACGTTATCAATTATAAACCAGCCGCAACTAATCATGTAGATATAAAATAAAATATTGACGTTATTTGTGCTGTTTGCGGCAAGTTTATAATCTATCTTTTACCCGAAAATCGACCTCCAAAAGTATGGATATTCTACTTTTACATGATTTAATAAAATCGACCAAATGGCACTACTTAGTACCTTAGTAATTAATAGTGATTACTATAATTACTACACATAACTTTATGTAGGTAGGTATATCTTGCACCGTTCTTTCTTTACGAAAATGATTTTGGGAAATGGTTTGGGGCACGTGTGTGTGTAGAAACAGTACCTAACTTTTAATAAATAACTATTGCTTATTCATATATGTATTAAGCAAAAACCATACTTATTTAAGACACAATGGCAATAAAAAACTGCATCACCAAAAAAAAACGGTAGCTACGGCAGATTATTTTTTATTGTGCGAATTAATGTGACACATTTTCTGACCACTTCTTGTTACTCAATACTTCTGTTGGCCGGTGTTTTTTTTCTTGATTCTTGTTTACAAGTAAACTGCGGGTACAATAAATAAAGTTTGATTTGCCGAGTTCAATAGCTTCGATCAATCGTTGATTTACAACATCTTGTTTACAAGGTAAGTAAAGTTTTTTTTTCACTTTGCTTTTTATTCTCTTGCACACTTAACGAGCCTGCGACTTGTGTTCAACACATTGTTTGCTCAATTAAGCAACATGATGTTATTTCTTCAAGGAGATTTGTTCAAAGAAATAATTCACAAATCTTGAAAAGTACTTTCGCGTAGTCTGGAAACTTATGCCAAACAGTGAAAATACATGATTTTGTGTACGAGATATCACCAACGACGCTCTATATTGTTGACAAATTAGTAAGTACTTCAAACAAAAATATAACGCATTGTTGCTGCTTAAATGTACGAAAAGCCAATACAATATATTCCGCCACTATGATTAACTGAAATAGATTTTTATACATATTTCAGTTGTATTCACCATAGAAGAAAAAAATAGTTGTAAAGGTTTTGGGAAGATAACTTGTGTAGTATCCAGTGACTAAGTGGATCTCAAGAACTAGATTTAACTATAAATCCTGAACGGGCAAGCTTGTTAACTGGTAATGATTTGAATGGAACTTTTTTCTTTTATTCATAATTTTCATTTACTTGGCAATAAAATCGATTTTTATGAAGTATAATAATTGCTTTCACAGATATTGCAATTTCCAAAGTATTGACGTAATTACATCTGAAAATGTATTCACATGCTATAAGATGTATTTTGAACGTATCAGCGAAATTGAGAAAACACAAAGATTTAAAGGACATAACTTTGATCTATCCAACATTGATCTTTGCTAGGCAGCAAGTTTTAGCCTACAAAAGTTTTCACATCTCTGCTCATCATGATATAGAAGAGAAACTGTATATACCTAGGGATCAAAAGGAGAGGAAGAATCATTTCAATGACGAAGCTCAAAAGAAAATCGATGCAATGGTCCAAGAGAATCCAGAGCTCACAAAATTCATGGAAGTCGTAAAATTAGAAATTGAACTTCTGAGACAAAATGGTGTGAATGTTCCCTTGGTATTGAAACCTGCACACTGGCTAGAAATTCTGAGCAAACATTCTAAAAAAACGAGAGAGTAATTATTAAACTTTTTTATCATTTACTTGTAAATTATTATCGCATACAGGGTGAAAATTCTTTCTTATTGTTTGCACAGAAAATACTACGATTTTTTATTTAAACTTGAGAAGAAAGTAGAAAATCGCAAAATTAAGCAAGAAAAGAATCAAGAACTCTATGAAATATACAAGCAGGAACGAGATACAGCTGGAGTTAAGACTGATGTAATGGTGTATGGTATAGCACGAAACTGTATGTTCAGACGCATTTCCGATCAGACAATGAATCAATTATGGAACTGGAATAGTCTCAAATCCGTCATGTGGGGTAACAAAATAGTTTTCGATTTCAGTTATGAACAATACATGAATCCTCAAGAAATAAAGAGCTGTGCTAAACAAATAATGGGATCTTACGCCGTCAACAGATTGCACAACTTTCCGTTCAACGTTTACTTATGCAATGTTAATTTAAAGGGTCTACTGATGACAAGTTTAGCTAAATTTATTCCAACCTTGTTTGACGATGATTTCCCATGGACTGTATCGTCAAAGTCGTTTATAGAACTTTTTGATAAAGATTCAGTTGTTTATCTCACAGGAAACAGTAATAAAACGCTAGAAAAATATGATCACAATTCAGTTTACATCATTGGAGCTTTTGTTGATAAGGTACATTACTTTTGATTTTAAAACTCATAGTCATACAGATGAAATAGAATTTTTATGTTTTTAGTGTTACAAACAACCTGTTTCATTAGCAAAGGCAAAACAATTGGGTATTAGCACGGCAAAATTACCTCTAGATCGTTATTTACACTTTGGTGATGGTTCAAACAAAAATTTGACTCTCAATAATGTAATGAGTATCATGTTGGATGCGCAATTCAACAATTGGGAAAAAGCCCTAGAACATGTACCAAAAAGAAAACTGTTTGAATCTCGACTGAGAGCAATGGAAAGAAAACTAGAGAGAGATATGGGCAAGGCAAGAATTTTGAAGCCGCAAACAGACATAGACTTTGGCTTTAATGCCCAAACAAAGTTACGCAAACAGTTCAATAGTGAAATTAGATCATTCACGTAAAATAGCGTATTGTACAAATATTGACTTTATAATTTTTTTACGTTTGCAAATTTGTTACTTTTTATTACAGAATATGTATAAAAAATTGTAAAAAAATGTCTTACTTTCTCTTCAAGAGATATTGTACATAATAAATAAATCTATTGAAATACTTGTCTAGGTAGATATTTTTTCCTTAATTCAATACTATAGTAGTATTTTGGTTTAGCTACAGTCAATTTTGAACACGATGTATTAATGTTATCTAATGCTCAAAAAGGAAACCACCTAACACAAATATGTCTCATGCCATGACAAATATTCATATTTATAATGCCTATTCAATGTCAAATAAGTTGTACTTTCCAACCGAATTAACTGTAACACAATCTTATCATTGCAAGTTAACATAAAAGTATAATTCACGGCTTGAGAATCAGATATGGCAATTAATAAAAATTTTACTTATAATTACTGTATTATATACATTTATTTAATTAAAAAAGTTAAAATATAAGTATTGCACTATAAAAACTAGTATTAAATACATGTAACTTAACCAATACTTCATAAATACAATTTAATTTAATGTCTCTTTTTACACGTATCATTTGCATCTATGTTCTCTTGGATCCAGAAATGAGTTTTAACGTTTTGGAGCGGCATTCTCTTGGTGCTGTTGATTTGGAGCAGGTTTGAAATCAAGTCCTTAGCTCCAGCAGTGATAAGAGGGGGCCATGTTATATCGACCTTGTTGATCTTTACAAAGGTAGCGCTGGTCCTTTGGCTGAAAAAAGGTGGATCTCCAACTAGAAACTCGTAGCACATGATTCCAAGACTCCAGTGATCTACAGAAAAGTCATATTCCTGTCCATTTATCATTTCTGGTGGTAGGTAGTCCAGAGTACCGCACATAAAGGTACATTTCTTCAAGGGTGAGTGAATCGACCAGCCAAAATCGGCCAGCTTGATATCACCATCATGCGTAAGGAGCAAGTTTTCCGGTTTAATGTCCCTATGAATAACGCCATTTTTATGACAGTACTCCAAGGCGTCTGCTACTTGGTAAATGTACTTAGCAGATCGTTTTTCGCTGAATCGTTGATTGGGCTGTTTCTTCAGCATCTTGTATACCTCACCTCCAGCAGCAAACTCTAGTACCAAGTAGATCTTTTCGTTGTCGTCAAAATGTGTCAAGAGTTCTAGGATGCGGTGATGCTTCAAGTGCGACTGAATGTCTATTTCCCTCAGAACTTGCTTCTCAATACCGTTATTAATCAGTTCGAATTTGTTGAGACTTTTTAGAGCTACCACTATCTTGGTTTTCTTTTCTATTGCCAAATACACTCGGCCAAACTTGCCTTCACCAAGTAAAGCACCTGTATAAAAATCTTGGAGATTCCACTGAAATCTGTAAATAATTAGTATCATTTTAGTATTCACAGACAAAATTCTTCTCTCTCATAGATGTGTTTCATACTCACTTATCACCTCGATTCTCAATATGTTCTTTCATAATGTGCTCAGTTTTTTCAATAAGGGCAAAAAATTCTTGAGGAATTTTTTGGGGAATCCTGAAGTCACAATCTGTCATTGTTATACTGACTTTACAGCAGCAGGTATGTTTACCTGAAATATCACCTGAAAACAAAAGTATACGAATTGTTTGACTACATCATTACTTAAAAGAGTAATAATATTACAAAACAAGCACCCCCACGCGTTTTTGTTTGCTTATAAAAGTATAACAGATTTTCGAACATGACAAATGACTCAGTAAGAATTCAAATTTTAATGTCGGTAGTTAGGTACCTCTCTCATCTCTCTCTCCCCCGTGCGAACACTATTTATGAAAAAAAATTGAAACAATAAATAAAGCTAATAAGTATCTAATTAAGTAAATACACCGTCTACGCTTGTTATGATTTATGATGTGCACAACTGCACACTGCACTGCAGTACTGCACCGGCTAACCGGCTTACATACCTCAAGATCCCAGCTTCCGTGAAATTACGAAAGGACAACAGTAAATCTATACTAAAGCACACGAGTTGAGTATAAATACATCACATAATCACGTATATATCTGTAAGAATGTATAGAAAATTAAATGCACCAAACTAGTAACAATAAACTAAGTAAGTCCTATTATCAATCGACTACTTATTAAAAGTACCGTATGTGTATAACCTCACGGCACTCACGACTCACGACAATAACATTATATACCTACACACATAAGTAGGTACACGAATCGTGACAATCGTGTAACAACTATATAGTAAGTAAAACATGTTGTGCCGTGATTGTTGTTGTGGAAGAAAGACAAGTGCACAAATCAACGCCAACATGCACAGTAAGTACTTAAGTATAAGGAATGAAAATTTTGTCATCTTGATTCAATCAACAATATGTAGTAGTTACTTAGTAAATATAGCAGAATATAATATGTATGGCTATATATTTGCAGCATTAATTTATAAATCCAGATACTTAATTGTAGCGTCAATTATGATACAACGTCCAAACTTATGATTTTCGTATTCTTTAATTCGACATAAAATGTTTTTTTTTTCAGTTCAAAGAACAAAATAAGCATAATTAAATAATTCTCACTTGCGAGCCATATTTTTATATGTATCATAGTATAAAAACATTTCTTGATGAAAGCTCCTGAAAGTGTTTCTACTACCGTGGAATTTATTCAAAAAACATAGCCATGGAACATAAGTGTTGTCTTATCTAAATATTATGCATTTATCAAAATTATTTGTGTAAGTATAGGTGCAGTATACGTATTTGATCACAACATTACCGTTGTGAATGAAATTAAAACACATACAAGCTGAAAGATAATTTTTCATAAATTTTTTTACTTCAGCTTTCATATATTTTCTTCACAAATAAGTATTTTCTCCTACTTTTCCAAGATAATACCATGGTATGCGTAACATTAAAAACTCTTTATATGAATTAACTTAATTAATTATACCTACCGCCTCATAATCATATGAATATCATTTATATACATTATACTTTATACATAAAACTGATTTTTAAATACAGTTACACAATATATCCACTTTCCCACTTACTTAAAAAAAAAAAAAAATAATAAATAAAGAAAACGTTATTTCTGCACTGTTTTTTAAAAAGATTAAACTCACTTGTAATGTAAAAAACCGTGTCAGCAAACATAATATATTCTCGCTCTCCAACGTTCATACACATGTATTTTATGTTATACTTATTTCACAACATTCTACATACCGTGTTTTTACATAATATGTACGCCAGCAGATAATTATATATATTTATGATATATGTACTTGTCCTCAAAAATTTCATACAAATTGCATTTGTGTACCATCTCACTGATTAAATGCACTATATACATATACTGTGTTACATACAACGCACAACACACATGCAATTATTAATAATATAATATTGAAAATCTGCTCGCACAATAGGTATATGTATAATATAAAAAAAAATGTCAACTATAGCGTTATTAATAAATATTATATCCAAACGAAGGACCAGTAGAACAAATTGAAGATGAGAAAGGCCACGGGAAAGAGTATGCGGCTGCGCTTGTCGATCCACTGGGCTATTTCCTGGGGCGTCATGGTCGTGAAGGTGTTGAGCTGAGCGAGGGTCGAGCGTCGCTGATACGTCTTGGGCGGCGGCACAACTGGCGGAGGTGCAGGTGCCGGAGGTGCTGAATTGTTGCTGTCTATCGTCACCACGCTACCGTTCGAGTAGTCCTTCTCGTCGTCTATCCTCACCGTTGGCACGTTTATTGTGCTCGGGAAGCTCTGCGGGCAATGAAACAAACGAGTGGTTTTCGAGCAGATGTGTGCTTTATTTTGGACAAAATTAAAAACTCGTGGGTATATACATAAACAAAAAATAATGATATACCCCAAAAGAGGGAGAGATCCCAAAAAAAAAACGAATGCTGCTTGTTCGTGGCCTATTCGATGTCAGTTAAAAGGTATATACAGCTGATGTGTGTGGCTTACGTGTATGGTCAAGTAGTTTTGACTGGAATAGTCCTTCTCGCGGGCGTTGTTATTGTCCAGGGACGACCACGACTTTGAGCGCTCGATGCTGCAGCCGTTCGTGTTTTTCTGGAATTGTTTGCGCGCCAGTCTTGGGGTGAGCGTCGATTTGAGGATGTACTTGCTGTTGACCTTCTTCAGAGGCACCGTTTTTCTGCATCGACATTTCGGGGTTTATTGTTTTTATCGGTCAATTGCACGACCGAAACTACTGCCGATTCACCTTATATACCCATCCTTTACCGATAACTTTTGTAACTTTTTTTTAATGCTCGTGGGACTTTGTACGTACATTTATGGTTTTTTTTTTTTAATTGCGGAAAAAATTATTATTTACAACTTTTTTTTTACAAAAAAATTGCTTGGATACTTAAAATTACGACTTGTTTGGATTCAATCTTGACCATGAAATGAATTGGCTTTGAACTTGACTTTACTCCATAATTTACAAGATACAATTTTTTCCAAAGCCAAAAAGTCCAAGTTGATAAGAAAATAAATATTATTACATGAACAAGCAAAAACGAGTGTAAAAAACCCTAAGATAGTTTGACAGCTATACTGTACAGAAAAACTCGAGGGCGTTTCGTCAGAGATGAGTATAGACTCTACTCATCTCTGACGAAACACAGAGATCAGCGTCAACCCCGTGCGACTATACGTATGATCTCTCAAATCGGTATACTTATGACCCAATAATTCACCAATGTATACTTAATTTACATCTGTCGATCGACTAGCGATATTTTACTTACTAGTATTATGTGTGGTTATTTAACGAAACAATTGGGCAAACGCACAACTGCGGCAGCCCTAGTACATATATATATATATATGAATGCATATTGCGCGAAATCTTGTACAATTACTCATGTATACCAACAGAGATACGAGCCACAAGCAGTCAGAGGTGTTTTTTTATTTAACGCGTAGGTGTAGGCATGTACTATATTACACACGAGTTTACTCAAAGATTACAAGATGTTTATTGGCGCCATATTAGAGCTCGAGGGATATGTATTCACCGCAAGAATTATAATTATTGTGTATTATCTGCGTAAGCTTTGTACAATAGCCGTTGATGCAGGCGGGATAACGCGCTTTGCAACGCCGTTTCGTGTACCTCTCATGCGACACCGTAAAATGTATTTTTATTGCATTTATTATTTATCGTTTAACGTAATTCTACCCTTGAACAAGCGTATGAAAATTTAAATGATTTTAACAAGAGTTTGGGATCATACACCAATGACCAAACGATCATTTTTTTATTCAAGCGGAGCTTATAAAACTTTGCAAGATAATCAATTGCGTGTATGTAGCTGGAGAAAGGGGGTGTATTATATGTATATATTTATACTTTGTGCAACCTTAGAACTAAAAGAAAAAAAAACTTCTCACTTTCTCCTGTAGATCGTATTGACAAAGGCGAACTCGACCATGGCGGCGAATAGGAATATCGTGCAGCCCAAGAACCATATTTCGCTGGCCTTGATGTACGACACTTTCGGCAACGAATTCTCAACCTTGGACGCCAGCGTCATGAACGCGAGTATCGTGTTGGTACCTGCGGTGAGAAAAAAAAAAAAAAAAAAAAAAAAAAAAAAAAAAAAAAAAAACAATTAACTCGCCATCTTGAACCTTTTTGCAACCAACCATCCGCTAGTTATATGTATATATATTATCACTGTATGTATAGAATTTGACTTGCAGAGTGCACGCGACGTGCCATTTGTTGTTTACGTAAAATGTGCTATTGTATATGAATGTACATACATTATGTTATTTTCAGTTGGATGTATGTTTAAGTACACTGTATATCTTTCTAATAGATCAAGGTCAAGATGATCGCGTAAAAGCTCATATGGTCGTCTGGAAAAGACTCCCGTAAAAATCGTCATTACTGTTATCCTCCGGTGAGTTTGAAATAAATAAAAAAAAAAAAACATTCAAATAATTAGATTATCTAAATGTTATCGGAACTGCTAATTTTATTCCAATTCTTCAAGTTTACGCTAAAACAAAGTAAGTGGGCGTTGGTATATACATATATAATACACACTTGCAAGCTCGCCGGCAGGCCGCAGGCGTTTCAAAAGTTGCACACGTGTGTGATACATATATAAATTGGCGCTTGAAACAACAAAAACGTGCCCAGGAATAACAAGAAGTGTAGGTAACTCGCAAAGAGTTGAACCTATTACTCATGCAGGTGTTTCTTTCGTCTTTTTCTTTTATTTTTTCATTGCTCGCGAGATAACGTGCGACCAAACGAATGCGCGCCGGTGTCGCATCCGTGATACTCGCGTGATCTCTCTTTATATATTTCGTGTACAGCGAAACGAGCGAGAGGCGGCAAATATCGTATATCCTATCTCTGTGCGACGCGTGTTTGTGGATCGCGAATATTACAACGAGCAAATGGTCGCATTGTACAACGGGGAATTAATTTACGCAAATCTGATGTCGAAACGGATCGAAAGTGGATTAGCGAGGGTAAAGTTGATATATATATATATATTGTAAGCCCGACGTTGCAAATCATAAGATGTATTGTACGAAGCTATAAGGATAATATATATAGGTATTATATAATGTGTCGACTTACCGAGTACTATCCTGGGAGGACTGGCGTCCACGTGTAGCCAGAAAGATACCCAGGATATGACGACTATGAGGATGGAGGGTATGTAAAAGTCCATCATGAAGAAGCCTAAATGAGTTTTTTTTTTTTTTTTTTTTTTTTTTGTTAAGTATTAAAAATAATATCGCTTGGATGCTTTTTTATTTTTAAATCGCGCTCTCTTACCCATTTCGCGAGCTAGCTTGAAAGTTATGCTTATGGAACTGAAGTTGCCAGCTGAAAATTTCACATTTTTTTTTTTTTTTCACATTCAAAAGTGTGCGAGTTGATAGCACAAAAAAAAAAAAATTATGAGCTCTGTTACGTAGTAGCACCTGTGCGTGAAACTCACCGAAATGCCCGTAGTGCTGTTGCGACGTGGTGTACGACACGTCGGATTTGTTCACCCATTTTTCGACCAATTTGTACTCGGTCAAGTGCAGTTCCTTTGCGAGCACGATCGGCTCGTCGTCCCAGTCCAAAACCATGTCTTCGACATTGTGTATCCCTTCAAACGATCAATATTTTACCTATTATAGACAATAAACTTCTCCCCGTACCCCTTACCATAGGACGTGATATTTTTTTGCTTTTAAAACCCCTGAAACCATATTACGTTATGGAATAAAGTAGTGATTTTTAGGAAAATCCTTTATCCTTTTACCGTTGCGAAAATTTTAAATACAATTTGGCAATCACGCGAATGATAGTACTTCATTTTTAATTTAAAAAAAATCACGTTATTGTTTACGAGTTATGAATTTCCCCAATATCGTTGTAAATGTAAAATATAATAAGTAGTCATCCAAACGTGAAAAAGAAAAAAAAAAAAAAAAAACAAAAAAAATTGTTTGAGGTTCGTACAGCTTTCGAAAACCAGCGGGCACTCCTGCACGTCGAAGGGAAACTTTTCCAGCCTCAAGCCGCAGTTGAGAATAACTTCCAATCTACAAAAGACAAACAGAAAAGAACAAAAATCGCGGATACTTGGCAACTTGCAGATATTTTGCCCTCCCATACAAGTATGAAGTATGGGGGAAAAAAAATAATGATCGGCCCAACCGACCTGGTGTTCAAAACAACCATGCCCGAGGGATCGATCGAGATGAGCAGATCTTTGACGCTGTTTCCCAGAATGACGGAACTGCGCTCGTTCGCCACGTACACCGAGGGCGTCCAGATGAGATCGTGAGTCGATTGGCCACCGTAAATCTGCGTCTGACGAGGCGCCACCTCGCTGAACCTCAGCCGAGTGTCCAAGTAGCGGAACTGCAGCATCATGTGCACGTCGAATTGCTGTACTTGAAGAAAAAAAAAACAACAACAACAAACATTTTTTTTTCTCCTTTCGTGGTACAATGTGGTGCGGGGGTTTTTTTTTTTCTTTTAATGTGGTGTAGCACACGTGTCGTGTGGATCTCATGGAACGTTTCGTCACACGCACAGCGAAGCATTTGTTCAAACAAAAGGCTTTTGTTAATCAAACGCACTTGTTAATCAAAAACCACGCGATCCGACTACATGTTTTCGGGATCGATCACTCGATGGAACGATACATTGTACTCCGATGAAACGCGCCTTTTGTTTTTCAATAGTTCGAGATTTCGCGTTAACGAAACAACAAACTAATGGTTTGATTGTCGATTCAGTTTTTTAGTCCAAGATCATTGCGAGATGTAATACACGCAAAGCGATGCTGTGTTATACGCGTTCCAAGTGTTACTCCTTCAGTCGCGCGTTGGAGAAAAAATCATTCGTTATAATATATATTTCCTACAATCGAATAAATATGTATGTATAATCCGATCCAGTTACTGCAGTCAAATTAAAGGAAAAGAAAAAAATCATCCGATTTCTCGAATCCATACCAGAGTCTTGGCCATGTTGGACTTGATGGTGTAGATGTAGGCCCTCGACCACACCTTGACGGGATCCCGTTGATCGGCAAGCCCCGGCGGCCGGACCATCTTGTCGTACCGGCACTCGCTCGTCAGCCCTTGCAGCAGCTCCATCTGCGTCATCGGCTTCGTAAAGTTTATCGTCCGGCAGTTCTCCACACTGTTTCAACAACAAATTCACACGTGCGTAAATCGGTAACGTTGCTTTTTTTTTCTTTTTTTTTTTTTTTTTTTACTCCACGCATCGTTAACGCGATACATCGATAGCACCGATCGGTCAACAAATTTATCATAAATTTATGATCGCGTACTTTCCCCCGCCCCCTTCAGGGGTAGGTGTGTATGTCATTGCTTTCAACATAGCTATACCCTTAATTCGAATACCTACAATTACTTGATTGGGGGGTTGTTCATCGAATCGTTAGAGATTCCGAGTTTTTGCTTGTTTTTTTTTTTTAACGAAGCGCGCAATGTCGTCGTTTCAATTAGCTCGTCGTGAGAATTATTAGTATGTACTTTTGTAACAATAGAATATTGTTCAGTGGCATTCGCAGAAATCATCGCCTCGAAATGATGATGAAGTGAATATTATATATATTTATACATAACAAACAGTGTACAATTGACAATTTGGTCAAGTGGAAGAATTATTGGCCGTAAAATGATTCATCTGCAATTGTATGCTTTTTTTTATGCAACAAAGTATTACATGCGCCCAATACCACCCCGATGTACCTACTTATACCGATCAAGTATATATATATATAGTGGCCAAGAATCGGATGCGTGCATCGAACCGAACACATATCGCAACGAGCAACGTATATTAATACAGCAAATTCTAATATAAAAGCTGTAAAAAAAAAAAAAAAAAAAAAAGGCAAAAAAGCAAGTGACTCATAATCGTCGTCTCTCTTCGTTTCCTTATGTACGTATATACGTACAATACGTGCAACAACGAGATATATGCGACAAAAGCCGATCTTTAACTGTATCTATGTATACGACCATCGCTCATAATATTAGCTGCATTTTCGATAAACTGCACGAGATCGGTAGCTGCGCGCGATACAGTTGTTTTCTCCTTCCCTCCGCATTCGTGTGTACGTTATTTTATATATGTATATATGTGTGCGCGCGCGTGTGTGTGTGTGTGTGTGGGTGCGCACAAAAAAAATGTCCCTCTCGTTTTCCTCCTTGGGTATAGGAGGTATACCTACTTATATGTTCTCGCGTGCCAGCACACAAAAGGTGTGCAGTCGAGACCCTGAAAAGCCAACAGCGTCTCCTCGTCGTTATCAGCTAAGTAACTCTGAGATTTACAACAACGCCAAATACAGTATGCATGCACGCTATAGTATATATATACATGCATGTTGGCACACTTTGTTTTGCCGGGGGCGACGAGATGAGCTTGCGAGCTTGTTGCGTCAGGTGCTCTCTTTCTCTCGATTTTTTCTTTTTTTTTTTTTAATTTTGTGACTTACGGGCGCGCGTCATCTCGACAAGCGCAAGGAATTGGTATAGTGTTTGGAGCTTTTTTTTTTTTTTTTTTGTTCTGAGCTGAATAAGAAAGTTTGCCGTGACCGGGTAGGAAAAGGGAACCGTAAAAAATATATCTATTTTTTTAATTTTCGTTCAACTGCTCGTACAGAATTTTTTTATTTTTTTTTATTTCAATACGTGTATTTCATGTTATGGCAACGCTCTATGAATTTTTTTTTTTTTTCCCATCTGACATAATATATAATTATTAGTGCGGGATGAGTATGGGTTTTTCTGTGGTTTCGCGAAAATAAAAAAAATAAAACGTATAATCGTATGCTTAATTATACTATGATCATTAGTACACAAATATTATTGTAATTGTTTAGGGAAACTACATATTTATTTATAATAATGATCACAATCTTAGTGCAAATCTAAAATCACCACTGCTTAATTGGGGGGTATAATGGTGTACACGAGATGAGTCATTTGTGTGTATATACATATACATATTTTCAAAAGTACCAGTACTTTTTGGATTCACGCAACTTCAGTTAACGTAACACGTGCTCACTTGTATATATATTTCACGTTATACCTTTTAGATGTGTACTTTATGATTAATGTATGATATAAAATCGTGATACGATTTTTTCGATTGCTGCTAATACCTACATTTGTGATAACCCGTTGAATGAAATTAATTACAAAACTCGTCGTCTTTCATATAGTATGCCTAATTTTTATTTAATTACTGTAACAAATTTTCAGGTAATTAAAATCGAATTAAACTGAAATCACGAGTTTAATAACAATATATGAAAATTTTTAAAAATACAATTTTCAAAACATCGACCCTGGGTTACGCGTCACATCAGATTTAATATTAAAACTTTCGCTCAAATGGATTTCGTGTTATCTCGACCGCGTCCGTCATAAGAGACCATAAAACAAATCAAACAATCGAGTTTTTTTTCGTTTTACAAAACAAATCAAATTAAACGCAACGGCTTTGCGCGGAAAACTGCAAAAAAAAAAAAAAAAAAAAAAAAAAAAAAAAAAAAAAAAAAAAAAAAATACAATAATCACGAGACTTTTCCCAGACGTCACACCGATCTCAAATGTTTTTTTAAGTAAAAATAGATCGGTACAGGAGGAATAAAATATGAGTGGTTAAATTTATGAAAAAAATAAAATTTTTGCATCTAAGGCATTTAAGGCTTTGATGTAGTAACAACAACGAGTAACAACAAGATCTACCACTTTCCTTGACTACACACATAAATATGGAATGTGTAAGTTGTAGCGAAATGACTGATTTTTGCACATGTTGAAACATGTTCGGATGCATGAAACAAGTCTTGATAAAATACATAAAAATATTGAAAAAATGTTTTTTTTTTGCGCAAATCTGTAATTTTTTAGTTGATACCGAACGTGCAAGTCTTTGGCCTGTAAAATTGTGCTTTTTTGACTTTACATACATGAAAATACCCTTTTTCTATGTTATCAAGATTTACATTACTTTTCTCTCGACTGCGTGTATGGACCAAAACCATCCAGTGTCAGGTTGAGATACGAAAAGAACGAAGCTTATACAAACCAAACTTGGGTCCAATCGGATATACGAGGTTTTCTAGATAGTCGATTTACGTATAGGTGCTTCATAATACATGTATATTTTTGAATATTTTTGAACTCATCGGGTACCCCTCGGATCATACTCTCAATGTTGGCTTCCTCATTTCTTTGGCACCAATAGTAAATGATTCGTGGTGGATGGTACCACTCGTTGCTCTTGTGAAAATGTATAAAAGGCACTTGTGTGAAGCACTCGTGCCTAAAAAGAGGAATTTCCGTGAGATGAGTCGTCAGCGGAGCAAATCCGTCCAAAGCACACGCTCAAACCGATCTCAAAGCCAAACATCGACAATCAGCCGCAACAGCTAAACAAACACCGATCGACACGAAAAAAAAAAAAAAAAAAAAAAAAAGTGCTCTCGTTTTAATGCATCGTTCGGGTGTAACGCAAAGAAACGTCTCAATTATTGTAGTTCGTCGCAACACTCGTAAACAGCGGGCACATTTTTATATTTTCTTCCAGCGAATTCGCGTAATATCTTTGGCAAAGGTGATGGTGAGAAAAAAAAAAAAACTTTTGCGCGTCGTTTAACAATCGTTTTTCATCTAAAGAAAACGGAGGCGCAAAAAAATTCGTCATATTTTGATCTATACGCCGCGAAAGAGAGTCTCGCCTGACCGATCTTTCAATGTCGACTAGCGGAAAATCGCAACTAGGCGCTTTATAGCCCCTTTTTTCACGCCGTCGCCTAAGACCCGTCTCTGTATGGGTGTATTTTGTTCGTACACGCTCGTGTGTTGTAACAATTGCAAAACGAACACCGGTACACCTGATTCGTTTTTCCACTTTCAAGGGTGCCGATCTCGTCAGCCAAAAAAATCGGTTGAAAATCGAGATCCCTACCATTTTCCGTGAATCGTCGCACCAAGAAGGGCACGGGGCATAAACGTGACTTACCGCTTCGACGATCGGACTCGCGGGGCACACAGGACCAAGACCATCAGAAGGAGCAGGTGCTTGATCGCCGGGCCGGCGGTCGTCCGATCCCGCCACATTTTCCGCTCGGCTCCGGCCACCGGTGCGTCGCTCAAGATCATCCGCTCGGTCCGCAGCAGTGCGACTCAAGTGCGCGTGCACACAGGTGGTGCCAGTCGAAGGTGAGATCGGCTCGGGCGCGGAAAACAAACTGGAAGCGAATCCAGCTGCTCTTTGGCCACCGATCGTACATAATTTTTTTTTTTTTTCCTCTTGAATGCGCGCGTGGCTAGAGATAATGCCAACGGTGTGATAATAGTGGTGGTGATGATGATGTGGTCTCCCACCCTCTCCCTCCGACTACTGTATTAATTATACATGCGCCGAGTGTGTCGTATTATGGAGCGCCGATTTCCGTACCGATGTCGCTACACGAAAAAAGAATAAGGGCGATGTAGGTGTTTTTTTCTTTTTTTTTTTTTTTTTTTTTAGGATACGTATAGGCGATCGGGAAGCTTATGTTTTACAAGTTTAAAGAGACGACGTTTTAAATGCACGCTCTCGTAGTTTTAGTTCTTTTTTTTTTTTAATAAACGATTATCACGCAACCTGAGGTCACTATTTTGTGCTCAAACGCGTTCAAAAATCATCTATTGTTACGCGACCAAAGCTCAATCACGCACCTATAAATTTCCAACGTTTCGGTATTTAATCAAACGTGCCTGCAGTATCCAGTGCGAGTAAAATCGACTTTGGCATTATAACAATTTTCGTGCTTCTCAACATTGAAACAAATGCACGCCGTAGCACAGCTTTCAATATATTATCGTGTGTACATTTAAATAAAGTTATCGAAGTATCAAGATAGACACATGTGTATGCTATTCGTTTTCTAAAAAAAAAAAAAAAAAACAAGGGAAAATATTTCAATGTCATGTCTCGTGCAGCAGTGTATAAAAACCGAATTGAGATATTTTTGATTCGTGATGCTGTAAAAAGTTTGACGGCAGAGTTTGTCTCCTCGAGTGATGGTTGAACTGTTATAGTTATACAAGAGTAGGACTCGTGTACATTTTTTGTAAAAAGGCTGTATAAATACTCATTATATATTGGGTATTTGGTATCTTATTTTTAGACACGATCGTTGTACATCGACTGATTTGTTACGTTCAAGCGAGAGAAAAAAAAATCATGAGCGCGGTTTCGCCGGGTTTCTAGGTCAACCTATTGAAATTGAGTAATTTTTTTTTTTTTTTTACTATTTTTCCTATGCTAAAATACTTCAATTTTATGTCAAAACAACAATGAAAGTTCCATGTAATGACTTTAATGGCATTTTCTAGCTCTTATTTTGGACCGATTGCAAATACGTTGGGGGCGGTTGCAGGTTTATTTGTGTATAATATGAGAATACTACACATAGTAATTCATATGTGTAAAATATGTGTTTAAAATATTATAAATTTAATAAATACTTATTCACTGGAGAAAAAAAAATTAATAAAAATTGTAAATCGCGTAGTTGATAGAATTATTCCTGAATCAAAACATTTTTTTCTCGTATAACGTAAGTACAGGAGATGGTAATGGCATCTGGCACAGTACAGCAAACAATGACAAATGAACTTGGGGGAAAAAAAAACACTCAATAGTGTTTCTGCTCTTTTTTTTCCACACAGACACTTGCTTAGTGAGAGTAATTATCTCGACACCTGTCGTTTAAAGAAATGATATTTAGAGTTTGACACTCTTCGCAGTTCATATTATGAGAGATAAAAAAAAATTAAAGGATTGAGAATGGTCTTGATACATAGTATTTTGACAAAGGCTTTATAATTATTAAAATTAAATAATTTTATTTTCTGTATTTCGTGTACGGCGTGTTTGTTTGGAGTTGGTAAAAAAACTTTGATTCAAGTACAAATTTTGATGTAAGTGTTTCCTTCTGTCATCAAAAAAGGCCGCATTGGTATCATTTACGTTTCAGTCGCGGCACTGTGAGCTTTCATGCTATTCACCGTGTACGACAGCAGATGCAGATCTTGATACAGTTTTGTCAATCTTTTGTAATGTCGTTCTGTGTAAGGAATCATAGATTCTAGCTTTAATTTCAAGTCATTTGACTTTAAATTTTCAAACTCAATTTCATTCAGAACCGTGTTTATGACAACCTATAAATTGATGGTACATAATTCAAATCGTCTCTTTTATAAGCTTTGAAAAAAAAAAAAAAAAAAAAGGCAAAAAAGCAAGTGACTCATAATCGTCGTCTCTCTTCGTTTCCTTATGTACGTATATACGTACAATACGTGCAACAACGAGATATATGCGACAAAAGCCGATCTTTAACTGTATCTATGTATACGACCATCGCTCATANTTTTATAAGCTTTGAAAAAAAAAAAAAAAAAAAAAATGTGATAAATGAATTACCTGAGCAGCTTGGAAATTTCGGGCATTTGTGTTCCAAATGATAGCGCAGGTTAGTAGTTCTTCTAGTTCCACTGGCTTCAAATCGCTTACAGTCGACGTCAGTTGGTCGCTTTCTTTTTTTATTAACGCTAACGATAAAAATATATAAATATTAAAAGTGCTTCCTCAATTGTAATGAGCGAGAAATTTGTACGCTTACCTTCAACGATTCGTAAGACGTGCATTGGCTTTTGCAATTTGAGAGCTAGTTTCAATGCCTTTAATAAATTCTCGGACTGCATACAGTTTGCTAACTTCTGCTCTTCCAGCACCATTTGTTCCTGCAATTTTCGAGCCTTTTCTTTTTTTTCCACTGTTGTGTCTCTCCATATAATTAATTGAGAATCACTCCCACCGCTAACAAAGTGACTTTGGCTTTTGTTAACTGTGGCCAATCAAAATCAAATATTTAACAATAATCATATTTGGTTATTTATCAAACTTTGGTTACTCAAGAATTTAGTGAATTGTACCTGCAAGCGACCATGTTTTGTCTTGATGTTCGTCTAGCGTCAAAGAACAGTTCAACATTTTGAGACCCCACAATTTGATTAGACCATCTACTCCTGTTGACAAAACCTGCATACCACGACTTATAAACTCTACTCGTAGCACGCCGCACTCGTGTCCTTCAAACGTCTAGAAATAAATAAATTTAGATGATAAACGAGAAAACGAGGCTTTCACAATTTTTATAGACAAGCATATTTAGTGTATACCGAAAGACATCTGAATGTGTTGAGGCACCACAGTTTGATTGTACAATCAGCAGATGAGGTCGCCAGTACTTGATCAATGGGAGAAAAACGCACGCACCAAACGCCTTTGCGATGTCCAGAAAATGTTGCTTTCAGTACTAAAGTATCGGCGCACCAGAGCTAAAATTTTTTAAGAGTGACCAAAAGTAGAGAAAAATTGTGTTGTTGCTCAAGTAACTTTGATTAACAAAGGCGACTACGTAATATTGAACCAGTTTAACGTATACCTTTGCTAATTTGTCCTGAGCCGCAGTAGCAATGAATTTATCATTTGGTGAAATTGTAACACTATTGATATCTATATCTTTACCACCCTTGGCAGAATGTGCTTGAGTGGTATTTACTGCTCTCAAAGGAATTTGTATACCTAGATTTATATGAAGTAAAATGTAGTAAGACACTTTAATAGATATTAGCTGATTTATATAATCTCAATTAGTAATGAATTTTTACCAGTGTACGTTAAATTTTCAGGAAACTCCCAAACTTTGAGACATAAATCTTTAGCTACCGACACGAAGAAATTAGCACTAGTACGAGATAAAGCTACGCTAGTTACTGTTTCCATATGAGCAGTTCCTGTTCCTATGCAGTTCACAACCATTGTATTTGTATCCATGAGCCATAGTTTTACAGTACCATCCTAAAATATGGTAACTTAGAATGTTAGAAATACAATAATAAATACATATACGCATGTGCAAATTTTTAAATCATCTTACTTTGCTCGACGACACCAAAATATTTGGTTTGGATGGAGATGATGCTAACGAGAAAACAATGTTTTTGTGACCACTCAATAATTTACAACTCATTGTTGACAGATCAAAAAGCTTTATATCTGCAGTATTTGTTGCCACAGCTAAATGTGATTCGTTACTTCCCAAATAGGCAATGTCTAGGACTTCGTCAATAAAACCTACAAACTAAACAAGGAAAAGTATTATTACAGATGAAAATATCATTGCGGGTAATATTCGCTAAATTTATACATACTTGCTTTTTACATTCAAAATTGTCTAGTGTATAAATAAAAATGTTCTGCGATGTTGAGACAATTCCAATACTATTGCTGTTTTTATTATACAATAAATGTCTTATAGACAAACTGTTCTCATCTGTTGCAGCTGTTATCAAAGAATTTGATTGCTCATAAACCGCACTGCCAGATTTCATTTCCCATATTTTTACAACACCTAAAAAAAAGTGATGTATACTTAAGCTGATTGATAAAGAATAAACATTCTCTAATGTTGTTAAAATATGTGCATGTATACCTTTTTCACCAGCACTTATTACATAAATCGATTTATCTTCATCTTTCTTGGGAATCGGGAGATTGGCATTATTTGGTATTATAAATGCTCCCTCTAAGCATTCATACACAGGCAAAACGCGTACAGAAGCTTTTTTTACCATATTCCATAGTATCAATACTCTATCTCTACCAGAACTATATGATACCAAATATTTTAAATAAATTTAAGCCACAAAAAAATGGATGCTACAAGTAATCCTAAAAATTGCTTCTGATTGGAAGTAAAAAAATGTATTAGTTTAAAATACCTAACAGCATGAATTCCATCTTCATGGAACGTTAAAGATGTAACTTTGCTCATGTGTCCCTCCAAAGTAAATTGTTTTCTACCATTTTGAGTATTCCAGCAATGAATAGCACAGTCATCACCTGATGCAAATATCAATTCATTGTTTTTTTCATCTGAACGAAAGCAAAGAACACTGAAATAAATAAACTGCATTAATCATACTCAAACAACACAATCATTTTAAATTAGAAAGAACCTTACCCAATAACTCCTTGAGCTCCTTTAAAACTAAAGTTGCAAGTTTGATTATTCAAATCCCACAATTTTACTGACCCATCGATACCCCCAGAAACCAATTTTGCTGCATCATCTGTCAGAGTTAGTGCAGGCACTGGACCATTATGAGTGGATTTAAATAATTTCACAGGTTTAACATCTGTAAGAAAATTAATATGCAACTTTCAAGAAAATGGAGAAAAGTAAGAATATTTTTAATATGCTGTGGCTTACCATCTAGGTTCCATAATTTAAAAAGGCTACTCTTGTGATGTGATACAAGCCATTTACCATCCTTGGAAGTTGCAAAACTGTTAATTGTATCTACATCCTCATTTTCTTTGGGTTTTCCCAATGAAGTCTTGACAATTCCTTTTGATGCGCACACAACTGTAATATAATCACTGTTTTGACAGAAAAACGTTTCTCCATTTTCACTCCACTAAAAATAATACATTTCAACAAATAAAAATAAAATTGGAGTTATAAGGTTTCAAAATAATGTAATACAAGTTTTTCATACCTCAAGATTTCCTCCCGTGTAAAAAGCCTCGATTTTACTTTCTACCTCGAAACTACAAGAAGATAAATGTAATTCATAAACATTGAAGAAAAAGAAAATTTAATTAATTCTTCTGTTGCATAAATATACACTGAAATAACACTTACGATTCTTTCAACTTTGCACCACTCATATTGACATGTCATTTGTTTTTTGATGGCAAAAAGAAAAAAATTATTGTTTAGAGCAGAAAATTAGCAACATTACTTAAAAAAAAGCACGTGGATCGATAATATTTCCAATCCCTGGTTTAATAAATTGTGTGGGGTTTAAGCTGTTCATAGAGGTTATACGTAAACAAGTTAACATATAAACACATGGTGCCGGCTGAATGTGTGCGGAGTTTTGGTTGCCTTATTACGGCACTTCTCTTTGTTAGGGCCGTATTAGGGCAGTAAGGTTGCCTCATTTCTGTTTGGAGAGAGAAACAAGTTGCAGTACTATTTGTTGAAAACTTCAGAGATTTTTTTTATTGTTCTTTCTTCTCCTTATTAATAAGTGCATTAGTGAAAAAAAAAGTTTCCCTCTTTATAACACAAGTGTTTAGCAATCTTGTTTAGAAGTTTCTCTGTGTAATATGATTTGAGAGTCATTAATTTACTTTCGTATAATATTTTATGATTGTATAAAATATAAAAAAAAAGTATACAAAGTTTTATACATGATGTATACCGCACTTTCTTCTCCACCAACTTTATCTTCTGTGTTTGTTCATTAAAGCAAAAGCCTGAATTTAAATAAAGGCTTGTAACCTTGCCGCTTTAATCTTGTATTTAAAAAACCAGCGCGCGCATCGAGATAGGCAGGTGTGGGTGGTGGTGATATGGTGATGTGTTATGAAGAGTAAGTGCACAGAGGCACCCTTTTTATCTTTCTCCCGATTTTTCGCGTCCTGCCAGGAAGTTCCTATAGGGATCAGAGGAATTGGTCCAAGTTAAGTTCCAGCTGCCGTTGCTGCTGTAAGTATGTAGGAATCGTTATCGACTACTTGAGGCTGATGACGTGCTCCCTGCCTTAGACACAGAAGAGGTCAAAGAGGTGTGGACTCAGATTGACTCGATCGCGCTTATATTCGCTCAGAGCCGATGCAGAGGTTGCGCCCCCTCTAGCCAAAATCAGGCAAAATTTCTTGCATGTAAACAAACGGCTTAGAGCATATATACATGCGTATAGCTGCTTGTGATTGGCTGAATAAGACAGCAGGAGAGGATCGTCGTTCTCTCTCTAGCCTGCCAAGTGCCAATCACAAGCAGCTGTACGCATGTATAGATGCTCTAAGCCGTTTGTTTACATGCAAGAAATTTTGCCTGATTTTGGCTAGAGGGGGCGCAACCTCTGCATCGGCTCGGAGCGAATAGTAATCGTGCGGGAATTTCACCGCTTGACGGGAGCGAACTATTAGGGGCTTGGCCACCTGGCGAGTAGAGCCTGAAGCGCGAGAGATGTGAGACGTGAGACGCCATCACGCCAGTAGCTGCTAGCTGGCAACTCTTCGACCAGCAACTAGCAAGTCAGTCCGGTTTTTGGCTTGCGCGAGTAACACTCCCAGCGGTTCCCAAAAGTATACCTACCAATCGAGACTTTATTTGAAAACGTAGCATTTTTCTTTAAAATTCCTAACCTTACATCCAAGTAATTACGTGGATTTGGTGCGAATAAACACAGCGTTTAAAGATGCCGAAGAGGAAGAGCCAGGCTCTCATCGACTCGGACAGCAGCAAAAGCTCGGAGGAGAGTGGCTCGGATTTGGATAGCGTGAGTTTCTCTTTCTCACATTTTCCTATCTTCGCGACTCTTCCTCGGAGGATCGAGCTCTTGATGAGTGAATTGATGCTAAGAACTACGTGTAAGAGTTCGTCCTATGCTCGTGGGGATGATGTGATGCATAACCTCTCTCGTGTCTGGTACTGGTACGGGATTCGATAACTTTTTCCATCGTTTTTTCAACCATCTGTTGTCATGTGCGATAGTTCTTGTGGGTAAAGAACCACGTAGAATGTGAGAGACATATTTTATTTTCAACAGCTGCAGCGCATTTTTTTTCTTCAATCATTCTTTCTATAGTTTTTCCTACTTTTCCCATAAAGTTATAAGGATTACTTCAATGTGGACGGTCGTACATAATAAATTTATAACTAGAATTGACCAAAAATATGTAGCTTCTCTTGAATAAACATTAATCCTTTACATTTGGTACAAACTTATAAAACTAAATTGATACAATTATCAACAAAAAGCGTTTTAATCATATATATAAGTTAGATTGGATTATATTACTTATTTGGGCTCTGCACTAATTGCAGTTAGTCAAAAACAGTTTCGCAAAATTAACCAAGCTCTTTCATACTTGAACTTGGCATACTGACAAATTATTTAGTTTTAAAAATACAAAATGTGATATAGGGTTGAAATTTACTAATGATGTTTGTATAATTTGTTTAATATGGTATAGCCCTAGTATATGATATACTCCTAATATGATATACTCCTATTTTCTTTCTGAGTAAATCTAACAAATATGGAAACGCTTTAGTCAATTGTTTATCAAATTTGTTTTCTGTAGACTTCAAATATTTAAGAAGTTTGTAATGCCAATAGATATACTTTTACGTAGTAGCTAATTTATAAAAATAAAATTTTTTTTCAATCCCAAGATTGATCATGTTTTATTGCAGGAATTATTGACTCTTGCTAAAAAGAAAAAAGGAAATCCCCATGATGATGGCTCTGGAAATGAGGAAAGTAACTCATCAAAAAAAGATAACAAGGTCTTTGATTCTGAAACGTCAGATTCTGATGACGAGTGGAATGCTAAGACTGGTAAAGCAAAGAAAAAGAAAACTTCCTCAAAGAAAAGCAAGAAGAAAATGTCAAAATCTAGTAGTGGAGAAAGTGACAGCGAAAGTGAAAAAGAAGAGCCTGAAAAGGTTTCAGAACCAGAAGAAGGTATTAATCTACTTTTCATTCCAACATTTTCTGTGCTCAATATTTTATTATTCATTGGGTCTCTCAAATTTTGAAATTAAAATTAATTTCTAGGTGAAGTCTCAGATTCAGACGCTAGCGATGACTCTGATTCAAGCCAAGAAGAATTTAATGATGGCTATGATGACAGACTCATGGGAGATGCAGAGGATCAGGCGAGACTCGCTCAGATGACGGAAAAAGAAAGAGAACAAGAGATCTTCAAGCGCATCGAACAACGAGAGATTATGAAGACAAGGTTTGAAATTGAAAAGAAATTAAGGCAAGCTAGGAAAAAAGAACAGAAAAAGCAAAAAGAGTTTAAAAAGAAGGAGAAAGGTGGTGATGAAAAGAAGGTTGATAGAGCACCTGATCCTAAAGAAAGGAGTAAAGATCGCAAAAAAACGATAGAAGAAAAACAAGATAAAAAGTCAAGTGCAATGGCCATGTTAAAGGCAAGACGTGAAGAAAAACGAGAACGAGGTATACCGAGGTTTTTAATTAATGCATATGTTAATCTTTATTACTTTATTAAAACTCATACTAAACAGAGGAAAAGGAGAAGCAAAGAATGGAAGAGCAAAAACAACAATCTAAAGACGACGAGGAAGAGTTAGAAGGAGATCACAAAGGTTCAAAGACCAAGCTGAAGGCATCTGATATTTATTCAGATGATAGTGGCTCATCCAGTAGTGATGAAGACAAAGAGTCAAGTAAGCCTGCCTCTAGGCAGAGATCCTCTTCTAGTTCTTCCAGAGATTCAGACTCTGACGACCAAAAGTAAGAAATTTTTTTTCATAAATTGTATGGGATCATTAAACCAACCATTTGATTACTATCACACAGGTCCATAGCCAGTACAAAACCTAAAAAAATAATTTATGTTAACACCAAGGAAGAATTAAATAAAATACGATTATCGCGTCACAAAATAGAACGGTTTGTCCATCTTCCATTTTTTGAAAGAGTTGCGCAAGGGTGTTACGTGAGAATCGGTATTGGAAATAATAATGGTAGGCCAGTGTACAGAGTCGCGGAAATCGTTGGTGTTTGTGAAACCGCCAAAATCTACCAGTTAGGCAACACTAGGACGAACAAAGGCTTAAAACTAAGGCATGGAATGCAAGAACGTGTCTTCAGGCTAGAATTTGTGTCAAACCAGGAATTTACAGAGTCAGAGTTCTTTAAATGGAAAGAGACTTGTGCTGTGCAGGGCATATTGGCACCAACTGCCGATGAAGTTGATCAAAAACTTAAAGACATTAAAGAAGCAATGGTGTATGAGTTCAAAGAGGAAGATATTGAAAAGATAGTGCAGGAAAAAGGTCGGTTTAAAGGTACGCCATATAATTTTGCCATGAAAAAGGCACAACTTATGCGTGAGAGAGATGCCGCAAATTGTCGAGGAGATGATGACACTGCCAGTAGATTGAACGTAGAAATCGAAGAACTGGAAGAGCGTGCATCGGACCTCGATAAAAAACGATCGGCCACAATTTCCAGCATATCGTATATCAATGATCGGAATCGCAAGAAAAATGTCGAAGAAGCAGAAAAAGCAATTTTGGTACGTGAAAATCAGTCTGGAGTGAATTACTTGAATTTTTCGTTAAATTTTTACTTGAAAAATTTGCTCTTTTAATATTACAGGAAGAAATCAAGCAAAACAAAGGTAAAGTGATAGATGATCCGTTTACCAGGAGAAGTACAAGGCCAAAAATGTTTTCTCAAAAAGAAGATGACGAACCTCGAAAGGCTCCTATATTTCCTGTTGAAGTTATTCAAAAGCCTGTAATGAAAAAAGAAGAACCTGCTCCTGAAATGAAAAAGAAACAAAACACAGATTTGTTTAATGCTCATAATTTTGATATTACGATCGATCTGGGAGTGCCAACAGCGAGTGAGTTAACATTATATTAAAAATACATATAAAATGTCATATTTGTGTAAAGAGTTTGATTTCATTTATATTTCTATCATTACAGGTACTCCCGTTACTATACTTCCAAAACCAATGAACAATATTAAAGATTCTGGTCCTCGTCGTTCCTTAAATTTGGAAGATTACAAAAAGAAGCGAGGTTTAATTTAAAAAGCTTTGACATATTCTACAAACAAATATATAATTCTATAAATAAATATGTCTGGAAAGCATACTTTTCACTAGTTCATTACGAGTTGTAAACTGTTTATGGGTTACAATGTAATGGCAACTTAAATTTGCTTTATTTCGATTAGCTCAAAGGGTTGTCTTACACTTGTCTTGCAATATATAACTTGATTTTTATACATTTAAATCAGTTTTTGGAGCAAGTTTATACTTTTCTGTTGTTCAGCAGAAAGAACTTACAATGCATTAGAATTAATGATAATTTTATTAACGTTTTGTTGTATTAGATAAGTGATGATACCTACTAGTTCTGTATTGGACATTTTGGTATACCACTGTGGCTCATATTTTTATGAATTGCTGTGTCTAGCGATACGTCGTTTTGCGTTTAGTGTGTACATAAATGTTAAAACTTGTGAAATTATTATATACAATCTAATAAAACGCTGTGAGCAGTAAACGTTAGGCTGTTCACTATTTCAAATTGCAGGTTACTTGTACAGGATACTCGGACTCTTTTTTTCAATGTTGTTTTACAAAATCAATTTATATTTTATAATTTACAAAGACTCAAATTATTAGAAACATCATTGAATCTACATATACCGCCTAATTTTTTAAATATTTACATGAATTTATTTTACATCATCAAAAATGATTGTAGCGAGATGGCCCTGCCCTTACTAGTACTAAAAACCAAATAAAGTATTTTTTACAAGTTTTACGTGGGCATATTAAAGTAAAAATCAAATTTCGTGCCGAACAAAATTTATTGCTTGTAGAGCTTTACTAGGTTGAAATAATTTGAGTGACTTGAGGGAAGAGGGAAGAAAAAATAGTTTTATTTTTTAGTTTCTACCTAAAATCATGCTATCTCTCTAATGCATAAGCCTGCACTTTGAAAGATAGGAATTTTAATTTTATGTGAATTTTCTCTTATTGCTTAGGAAACTTTTTTTTACTGATAAAAAGTAGTTTCAATTCATAAGGTAAAAATGTGACTAATCAGTCTCTTTTCATTAATAACTAGTATTTATTGTAAAAATAAAAAAAAGACAGCTAGGGTTTCTCTAAATGTATTTACAATTAAGTTTTTAAATTAATTTGCAATGATAATATTGCAGTTGTTTTGTTAGGGAATGCAAACTGTTAAATCTCAGACTGATGATGAATGTATGTTATTATTACGTAAATAAGATATGCAAAATTTTTTTTTTCTATTACAACATTCATGCAACACAGTATTTAAATGTATATATAGTGTATATTTCATGAAGGTTTTCACAAAACTGTATATAATCCACTACATTAAATAAACTACAAAAAAATTTTAATGATTTCATTTTTATTTGTTAGAGTTAAACATCTAAAAGACATCCAACACTCTTATTTTTATTAATAAAAAACAACATTTTCAATATTTACAGAAGTAAGTTTCTTAATCCTGTTGTGCAATGGATACAATTAATTTTCGCTAAATTACAGCTCCATTTCATAATTATTACTCCATTATTTACAGTTTTTGAAACAAATGTCTCAAAAGTACCAACTAATGTAATACACGGTTTGAAAAAAATGATGAAATTTCAATTTCAACACTAGTGAATATGTCAAAAATGAGCGGTTTTTCTTAGTTCATCACCATCCACAGCAGAATTGCAATTTAATTATTATGTACATGACAGCTATACTAAATATTACTATAATTAATATGATTGACTGTCGATATTAGTGTCGTTTGGTAAGTACTTGTACATACATACATTTTCTAATAGCTCTTTGTACGACTAGAATAAAAAATTATTAGAACAAAATTATTTTATTTTTGGTACATAATCGAATTTGGTTCAGTTGTTTATTGAATTTGAAAAAAAACGCGATTTTTCGCGCTTAATGTTTGTCCTCTCGAAGTGAACATCGCGATCGCGGTGATCAGAGAATAATATGTAGGTACATACCTACATATACATATTATACACTAACCGGAGTTTCAAAGTTTGAAATAAAGATATTTTGCGCTTCTCGGAAGGCTGGTGCGTTCGCAAAGTGTTCATTCCAAAATTAAATAGGAAATTTGATAAGTTATGGAAACAACAGATGACACGAGTATATTTAATACGAGGCCAATAAATAAATTTATTTATTAATTTCCAACTTGGGGACGAACACTGTAAGATGACAAATGGTAATTTTCGAACGCGCCCTTTCGCAAGTACAGGCATTTGCTTGTCAACTGTCAGGAGTGATAAAGGTTAGGTTTTAGCATATATAAGATTTGGAGTTGGAGGGAAATAGAATAAGATAAATAATTATAATGGAAATTAGTGAAAGTAGACCAGTTAGAGGAAGTACAGGAAATAAAAAAAATTGCAAGAAGAATAATTTACCAAATAAGGTTAAATTATTCAGCCAAACTGACTTGAAAGCTTTAAGCAGTGACTTAGGTTTAAGTGAAGAATATCCTACAAAATCCTAAAATCTTCTTTGGAACAAAAAAATCTATTGAAAAAAAGCCCAAAGGTATGTGTACTTAAATAACTGCATAATGTGTATTTTTTTTAATTTGTTGCTTTTGATACTACGTATTTTTTAAAAGTATTATGGTTTCAGTTACAGTATATTTTGCGCACCTAGTGAACGAGGTTAACCGTTAACAGCGTTCGAGCGACTGCTCCGGAGCACTCCGAGAGTACTTGTGTTCCTCATTCTATCACTATGGTTTAGAACGAGATTTAAAAAAAATTAACACAGTACTACATTGCGAAGTTGGAAATAGGATAGGAAAGTAATGTCCCCAATCGCCATGTTATTCGTTTTTCTTACTCTGCGGTGCGTATATTTATATATACGATTCTCGTTTTCTCGTATTCCAGTCGCCGAAAATTCACTTTCCGTCCACTGTCACAAAAATTCTATTCTCCAACCTCCTCGGGCGTTTTTGAGGGTCGGGTGTGCGCCCTCGGTAGGAAAAATAGGGTGCGCATCCAACCAGGGTAAGCACCAGGAGTCCCTTTACTGCGCCCTCGATAGGAAAAAAGACCCCCAGGTTTTGCAGCTTTCGAAGATCCCTCGGGCCGCGAAACAGCCGCCCCGGTGGGGATGTAATTTCTGTGACGGAAACTACTGTTTTGGGACCATTAATTAGGATGATGCTTAGGTGATAAATACTATTTTCCAGCATACCGATGAGGGCGCAGTAAACTAAACATCCAAATGCCACGAAAAAGAAAAACGTCTCGAGGTAGAGAAATTACTATTTTAAGGAGTCATTTTCACTTCAATCTCGTTCAATTCTACATCGACTCCAGTAGTCTAGTGGAAATGGTGGGATTCCAATTTGGAAGATTAAAAAACAATGTGTGCATTGCATGGCCAACGATTTATTCATGAAAACATTATGTAAAACCAGGAAAACAGTTAAATGATGACGGTTAAAAAAAAAAAAAAAAAAAAAAATCGTACACCTGGTTGCAGGTACAAACTAATGGTCTCCTGCTGGCACGAGGAGCCAGGAAAAAAAAAAAAAAAAAAGAAGCGTTCCGAGTTCCGAGTGATTCTGATTTCTGCGGTGACGTCAAGGCGTGTAAATATTGCTAACGCGAGCACACCTATAGTTTTCGCCGACGACGGCGACACCGGTGACGCACCCCCACAACCAGTAGTAACAACTAGCAGGCGTCGCCAGCGACCGCTCTCGGCTCTCCAGACATTGAGTGAGAGAGCGCAGTCGAGTCAAAGAGGAGCCAGTTGTGCCGGAAAGTTGTGAAAGAGTAGTGTGTACGGTGTTTTGTTTGGTTGGAAAAGCAGCGACAAAAGCGCAGAAGAGACAAGAGGCCGAACTTTATTTTTTTTAAACAAATTTTATACACTTATTATTGATCGGCGAGACTGCTGGTCGGCACACCGGAACAATGGTAATTATCGCTGGTGTTGTTATTGTTATTGCTGTCGTCGTTGCCATTGCACGTTCGTACACATATTCCTGTACCATTCAGCCAGGTAACTAACTCCACACGAGCCAGTAGAGTGTTATATCGTCGCCACACCGCGAGATTATAGTGTACGCTATTTCCGTCCCTCGCGAGCTGTACTCTGCTCTGCCTCGGTTCTTCTCCGAGGAAGTCTTCGTTTCACGTGTCTATGTGCGTGCGTAACGTGTATAAATTTGCCCGAGCAGTCGAATGGAGGTACCGCCTCTTCTCGAAGACGTCGAGGGTAGATCACCGTGCCCGGCGACACAGGCACTTTTTTGGTTAGAACACTGCATACTCTCCTTCCTCCCTCCTCCTTCTCTCGCTATCCCGTCCAGCCTTTATCCGCCATTGCCATCTCTCTCCTTCTCGCACACACTTCAACATATACACATTCCCCGCTGTTGCAGTGTGGCGAGCCGGCTAGAGCGGTGCGCCTCGCCGGCTTTCCGGTCTCCCAATTATCCCTTCCTCTAGGAAGCGGCAGCCCTTTTCTCGCACCGCAAGCTCAAGATTATACCGTTGCCAGTGCAGGCGTATACGGTATCACCGTCGGCTCTGCCTCCTTCCTGACTCTCAGGAAAGGGACGTTGTGTAGGTACATGCTACCTCGCCACCCGAGTCAGAAAATGGACGTACCGGATGAATCATCGTCCTTCTCTTTCTCTCTCCCTTCATCCACATCTCTTGGTTGGCTGCTCGTCAGCATTGCTCGCTCGCGCTTACACAGAAACAGAGAGTGCGGATAAAGCAAAGAGGGAGAGAGAGAAAGAGCGCGAGCGACGGGCGTTGAATACGTTATTTTTTGGGAGCCACGCCGCTTGCTTGGGTCTAACATCGTCTACTTGGGTATACTTACGCTCATTGCTCCGTGCGATGGTTCGATTGTGCTGCTGGCGCTGCCCTTTTAGGACGTGCCGGCTGAGAAGGGTGGTCTGAGGTGTGTGACGAGGGCGAGGGGCGGGCAGAAATAAGCTTCCCGTCCCTGTAGGACATTTCTTTTAACTCATACACACTACTTACCTTGGTTTCTCCGCTCTATTATTAACCGTTAATGTTTTAACTGTAAGACTATAGAGCGACAGTCGAGGATGACGACGACGAAGCAATAAATATATTCTTTCTTGCGCTCCCCCCCTCTGCCTCTCGTCCCGGTTGATTTCCTGTGTCTGCTAACATGGATGATACTAACCAAATGTATTTACTTGTATAATACATAAAATACCATGCATGAGAAGAAAAAGTACGGTATCTTTGTCGCTAGATAGCCTCTACAGTTCGTTGTTACTTCAGTCTGTTTAATTTTCTGAGATTTAAATCTAATGACCCTTCGACTTCGTATTGTCCGCTTTGCTTCCTCTCGGTACATTGGGCGTGCGTTTGCCTGTGCAATGTGCCACGCTTGCTTGCTCAGTGCCGGTGCCTCCACCCCCCCCCCCAGTTGATCGCGCAGGGGGGTTTTTTTTTTTTTTTTTTTTTTGTTTTACAAATTCGGAGCACAATCCTAGACTTATTTCATACACCTCTTGTTAAATGATCGATTTTATAAATATATGTGTACATATTTAATGTCCTGATTGCCGATCAGTTTGGCTATAATATTTCAGCATATGCTTTTAAAGTACGAAACGTAATCTTACAGAAAAATTTATATCACTGAAAGCTTTTTGTTCCCTATTGAAAGCAAAAACATGCGTGGGTCACGTTGATGAAGCTGTTTTAATTTTCTGTTGTAAATAAAAATAATAGATAAAAATGCAGGTTTTCATTATGGATATATTTGAACATGAGCTTTATGTAATCTTGCCAGTTGTCACCTAAGGTTGTCACTCGCTTGTTGACAGCATTTTCAGGTATACATAATTTTTCTTTCTTTTATTTCCAAGTGTCGATTTAGTTTGTACTTGTAATGCTTGCTGCTCTGTTCACTTTAATTATCGAATGATTAAAGGCGTAATTCAAGGTTATGCTACTTTTCACACATCAGAAACTAGTAAACTTCTGTTCAAGTGATAGAGTATATGATAATTTTGTCGATGTCAATTTCGATTTCTCCACCATTCCTTGAGTTTCAATAATCGTTGCAAGTTTCTCTTAAGATGTACATCAATTAATTTAGGCCGCGATGATGTCATTATTTTAACCATTAATATAGAAACATGCTCCAACCCCAATGTGATTTGCCATTGGCTGTTGGGACATCGATGTTGATACTCCAAACGCCCAGCAGTGTATCATTGTTGTAATGTAACTGTTAACCTAATGTGCTTACTTTTACTTGATAAACCTACTAAATACGTCTGATATGATAAGAGCTGTGTGGCGATATCGAGTTTCAAAAAAAAAAAAAAACCTCGTTATCTTTGCTACCATTGCCCTAATGGATGTTTTCCTATGAATTATCATTAAATATACTTGATCTCTGTACTTGAAGTGAGAAAAGTGTGTGTGTGCCAGAGGCGAGCGGTTTAAAATGAGTCACACTGAAAAATTGATCTGCCATGATTCACGGTTATTAGGTCCGAAGATTAAGGTTCGCGCTGGGATTCGAGGTATTTATCGTTCAACACTATCAGAAGGGCAATTTTCGAATTGTTCGTATGTATTCCACGAAAGACTTAGGCATAATAAATGTGATATGTGTATTAATACGTAAGTGACGTGTAGTGTAAACAATCATTGATTAAGTACCACGATAGTGAATAATAAAATCGTAGATGTTCGGTCATACAATAAACAAAAGTCATTGGTATATACGTCAAATTGAGTTAACTCGAATAGCATTGCAAGTATATGTTAACAACAAAACCAAGAACTCGTCGTATCGTCACGGATAATCTTGTAATAATAGCAGCAGTGAGTAACATATTGTATACGACGAGGTATACGAGATGGAAAAACAAGGAAACGCCCTCTCTGTTTTATACTCTGTTTTCTTCGTTAATTGAATTGAGAAGATAAAAAAAGACTAGTTAGGATTTCTTATCAATATTCGAAAATTTGTCATCAGAAAATCGTTACATTGAGTTATAGAATAAAAATACGACAAAATAACGAATCGATTGTCTAGAAATCTTTCTATAAAGGTGCTTTGATAACATGGGATAGAAAAAAGCGATTAAAAGCCGATTGTCAAATTAAATCATACCCGCGGGGGGGGGGGGGTAACAGCTCTTGACCTTGTATCTCCGGCTAATGTGTACTCGCCAAAAAAGTATACTTGCGAGACGAAAACGGCATCTAAAGTACCATTCCCGGTATTATCGAGTGTTTCACTCGGATAGAGCAAAAAAAAGTCTTAACTAAACTGTTCAGGTATACACGAACTTCACGGTTTGATGGTCTGTCCTTCGTAATTTACGATTCTCTCTCTCGCGGGGACCGATAGGATCAATTATTGTATACGTCCCTCGTGACTTCAATCATGCGTCTCTCTCTTGGCGAATTTGATATTAATATTTGCGAGCTACGTTTGTTGACCAGATTCCGATTGTGAGATTATGCAGAATAATAACAATTGAGCCAGATAAGCAAAAATAATCCTCTATTTTTAAAAGTTAAACGACAAGTAATCTAATTGCGCTGGATTTGAACGAGTGGGGGGGGGGGGATAAATGAAAATCAATGGGATATAAAAAATCAGTTGACAGTCGAAATAACTGACAATGAGAAGAAGAAAAAATCGTAACAAAATCAAGCACAGCCATTTGAAGGCGTTGCTTGAACTTTTAGATATATGATACAGATGTGCCGCAGGGGAGAGCCAATAGAGCCAATTAAAGTGAAAACCCTGAATGATTTTTGCGCGCGCGGTAGGTATGATTAATTTGCTTTGAGGGGGGGGGGGCGAAAAAGCGCCGAGCGAGTCTATATAGTTACGGTCGCACTTAACTTCCATCCACCAATAACAACGATTGAGATCTATATTTACTTTCAATCATCTCTCTCCCGACGCTTTAACTTACTTACCCACCTGATCGATCGAAAATAAACTTGCGACTCGCTCGCAAGCTCCTAAGTATATACCCGTGCGGTAGCGTCACAAGACAAAAAAGAAAAAAAAAAAGAAAAAAAAAAGTCACGCAAAGGAAGATGATCCGCGGTGTGTGCAAGCGCACGCACGTAGACACGCTTACAACGGACGACGAGCGGCTCCGGTTTCTCTCAATTGACAATCTTCGGCCAAGCTCTCTCTTGAGTAAGACGCGTCATACAGACTTATACGTATAAGTTAAGCTTTACACACCCGTGTATATGCATATATATTATATGTGCGTAATGCAAAAAGAGAAGAGAGAGAGAGAGAGAGGAACAGGTGCCGAGGGATTAAGCGCTCTCTTTCTCGCTATCTTTACACTTGAAAGTTTGTAATAATAATATGTGCCCGTGTGTCTAACGAAGCGCCCATAATTCGCACACCCCTTTGACCACGGTATCGCCATTTTCGTGCAAGCCCTGCTTATGTATATTTTTCCTTTTGATTTGTATTTTTTTTTGTTTTTTTTTTTTTTTTTTTTTTTTTTTTTTTTTGTTGCTGTTATCGTAATGCAATGTTGGCGTATAATTATTATATTACCAACAGCAGCCAGTAGTGTATATAATAATAATAACGGGTGGAGAGCAGCGTAGCCTCTTCTGCTGTGCTATGCTCCGCAACCCCTCCAAGTAAAAATAAAGTCTTCCCACGCGCGCGAATCCGAGGCTAAAGAAAGCTCCAAGCGGTATAATATACATGTATACATTTATTCTAAAGTTACGTGTGTGCGTTTGTGTGAGAGGTGTATTGTGGACACACGCACACGCGGCCTCTCTCCACTCGTGCGGCGTTTTATAAACGACGAGGAAAATATACTCCACGGTAATATATATTTTATATAAGTATACCGATCTTCTCTGTAGCTTGAGGATACCCAAAGACCCGTGCGACGAGCTCATACCAACGATCTTTGCTTGCTTGCGCCCAACTGTTGAAAATTTCCGTCGATACTTGTCCCGCAATTTTTCACTGAGTTGTGGAAACAACAAAAGTACATGGCGCTTTTTTTTTATTAACAACGCATACTCCGCGTTGGCGTCCCTCTGTCCGATGAGAGCGACGTAGGTATAGCATCAGTATATTGTATCCGCTGGAAAAAAGTCGAAGGGAATTTAATACGAGATGTCTATTAATAGCTCGTTTGTACATACTCTGGCTTCTAACTGACGCGCGCGTGTGCGTGCGGTTACGAATCGAATATATACACTTGGGCAGGGGAGGTGCTGTTCCCCCCTACCTTCTTTTCCTTTTTGTAGATATTAATAAACAAAAGTTTCGTGACGACAAGTCGCTGCGTTAATTTTTGCTTCTTGGAACGAATACATATTTGTATGCGCAAGCTCACCTTCAAAGGCAATCCACAATCGTTTAAATTTTTTTAGCGTTTTGAAAAAAAAAGATATCGCCTTAGCGTACAATCGACACGAAGCTTCCGCGACTGTCGTCAAAACCAATGTCGTATACAGCATATCGATTACCCGAGTAGGTGTCGTTTTCGTTTTTCCACGTGAAAAGGCATCATCCAGATTCTCCTCTTCCTCCCTGACTTTGTTTCGGGATACCCTCATAATGTAAGTATAACGCGACAAAAAAAAAAAACAAAGAGAAAAACTTTTTTCGTTACTGTGAATTGCAGCGCGAAAAGCGCTACCGATCCGTGCACACACATGCTCGTTACGTAACACCGGCCGCTCTTACTTTTCTCCCCTACGTGTACTTACATCATTATAAACCCTGTGCATAAGTATGACTTGGACGATTTTCGCTTCGATATCGGCTAATATACAGTTTGGGAGAGGCATGATTGAAGCCGATCGTTATCTTTTCGCGGATTGATTGGTGATTACAGCCGCGCGGGCGTGGCAATGCTGGTTAGTCACTGTACATCTGTTATCTCCCTTTCTCTTTGAGCACACGAGGGGATGCTATTTCTCAGGTTATGATCACCACTCGGCTCTTTGTTGCCACATCGAATCGGAACTGAAAGCTTTTTTCCCTCTCTCCCCAACAAAATAACTCGGGAATGGATCTACAAAGTAACCATCTCTCGAAGCTGCTTGTTTGTATTGTCACCCGGTCTCGAAACTTCGTTTTTTGCTTTTTGCCAGAGACGAGGACCGTAGCGCCGCATAATTTCACCCGAAATAAAAAAATTTATTGACGCAGCAGCAGATTATCCGAGCTTCTGGTGTTGCCGGTTCGGCTGCCAAGAGCTTTCGTTGTAAACTTCCTGTTCCCTCCCCCCCTCTCTCTCTCTCTCTCCCTCTAATCATAAGAAGTAATATTTGATGTGATGAAACCAGTCACTCGTTACAGTCGTTATCTCGTTGTATGAATTTTCGTAAATTTGACTTTACACAAAATCCCCTTGCCGGTTCTGCAAATCGGCTGTCTTTCACAACAGATTGTTCACAAATTTGTCTCTTTTTTTTTCCCTCCTTCGTTACGGAGCAACAGAAAAAAAAATCCTTGATCCTTTTCCCAATGTACGAAAATCACGCCGGCATGACGGAGAGAGACAGAGCGTGCGACAATGAAATTCGATTACCATAATAAGGCATGCGCGCGCGCGAGCGTTTCCTCCGTATTAATCACGCGAAAACCTTGCAGCCCTCAAATCGGTCGTTGTACACGCACATAAATACACTTATACAGCCGCTCGCGGTCAACTTGGTGCATTTCTTCCGTCCAATGACCTTGCGCTCCATCATTGCTCTCTTTTTCACGTTCTTGCGGGCGTATGTGAGGTGTACTTTGCCCGGTACCTTATACTGCGCTGATATTCAATGTCAAAGCAAACGAAAGGACGGTAGATTAATCTGTTTTCTTCTTTTGAACGAATGATTTCAGGCATCAGGAGTTACTGTGGCGGACATCTGCAAGACGACCTACGAGGAGATCAAGAAGGACAAAAAGCACCGGTACGTGATCTTTTACATTAAGGACGAGAAGCAGATCGACGTCGAGGTCATCGGGTCGCGCGATGCAACCTACGATGCCTTCCTTGAGGACTTGCAGAAGGGCGGCACCGGCGAGTGCCGCTACGGACTCTTCGACTTTGAGTACACCCATCAATGCCAGGGAACATCTGAGGTGAGACTTTTTTTCGCTGCTCTAGAAATAATCGTCATTAGCAAATGCGGATTTTAAGGATCCATGAGATTTGTTGGTGAATAGCATTTAAGGAGATGTGTTGGTATTACAGGCTTCCAAGAAACAAAAGCTATTCCTGATGTCGTGGTGTCCTGACACAGCCAAGGTCAAGAAGAAGATGTTGTACTCGAGTTCTTTCGATGCTCTGAAGAAGTCTCTGGTTGGTGTACAAAAGTACATCCAGGCGACGGATCTGTCGGAGGCCTCCGAAGAGGCTGTCGAAGAGAAACTCCGAGCCACTGACAGGAACTAAGTGACGACAACTGCAGCACAATAAATACAAACAATTTGATAGAAATGTAATCGATTTCAAAACAAAACTAAAAACTACAAGAGGGGCTACAATGCACAAATTACCCTTCCTCAAAACTTCTCCAAAAAAAAAGTTCTGTACCGTTTATATAAAAATGGGAGTTCGTGTTTTTACATGTTTTTCACTTTGGAAAACGTTTATTACAATAATATATACAAAAGGAAGGGAGTACGTCGTACGTTATAAGACAAAAAAAAAGTATACAACGCAGTCATATTTGTCACACGCTGTCGCTACATCGCGCGAAACTTGGTTTCAATCAATATCGCTAAACTAATATTATAATGATAATAATAATAAGATTTGTAAAAGGACAAAAAAAAATACAATTGTAATAACAGCGTATATTATACTATTTAAACTGTCGAGATGTAGGAGAGCATTTCTTCTTTTTATTGTCATACAGGCTGTATAATGAATAAATTAAACTCATTTCATTATTGTATATTTGACTGCGTTTGGATTTCAAATTTTGATTTTTAAGCGTCAATTTTTTTCCCTTATCGGTGTACGCTGTACACGCCATACTGAACTGAGGCACAAAAAACCGTGTAGACGCTTTAATAATTATAATATCAATAATGAAATCTTTTACTACTTTTTTTCTCAGTAGTTGTCATAATTCACTCGTTTCATTTGGTCATGTTTTGTAATAATTATTAATTATTTGTTATTTAATTCCACTTTATTATTAATTCTTGATACTTACTCTTTTCAATGGCTTGATGCACTACAGTGCAGTAGTGAATACACCTTTTTTAACTACCTGAAAATTAACCATTAGATTTTTTACATTTATAAAAAAGTGAATATAGCTCGTGACGTTTACATTATAAATAACTGAAATTTGATAAATGGATATTCAAACGTTTCTAAATTTACTTTCATGCCAACTCTAAAATAGAGGATTCTAAAGAGTATGGAATTTACTTTTTTTTTCAATTTGCAATGTTTCATTCATTACTGTAGATCATAATGGAATCTGTTCAACCAAAAATTTCTCGACATATTTATCATGAGATAAGAATCATGCCCTTACGATATTTTCGAATTTTTATCGAAAGAATAAAGAAAATTTTATTATTATGAAGATAAACAAAGTCCGCAAACAACAAGTAAAACATCGAAAAAACGGAGGAGAAACGTATACAATTATCACCAATTGATAATACGCACCGAGGTACAGGTTTATGAATTAGAAATACGTCAATAGCAGCTGTTGAACGGATTAAAATGTTACTTCTTCGATTTATCGGCATCTCAGTGAAGGTCACATCATCCAGCCGAGAAAAAGCCCTTTGCTGCTGAGTATTACAGCGGCAACAGCTTATTTGGCTTCAGGCTAAACAAGGCACACATAAGGTATACTTAGTTTGAAAAGAACTAGGCAAACTTCAATACTTGCGCAAATAATCGCTTAGGTAGTTGAAAAGTTTTATTTCAAAGAAAAGGTCGAGAAAGCATTGTATATAAGCACTTGCACTTAATGCACATCGATCGGGCGACAAACTTGAGTTGGTTCTTTTCCTTCGTATTCAGTAAAACGGATTTCATGAATTGTACGGAAAATTACCCCAAAAATCGATATTTCATCCGTTTGGATCAAAGCTCTTATTTACCACGAGTTAAGCTTACCAAACTTTCCGAAGTAGAATAATAAAAAGTTGTCACGTTAATTCTAGGGTCTATGTTACTAACTTTTTGCCCGTGGATGTGAGATTTTTTTTATATCGTAACGTCAAAGACCAGAATAAAAAATGAAACGTGTGTAAAAACCAATGTACAGGGTTGTCATATGGTCCGGATCCTGAACCCCGGAACCAGGATTTTGGTTTTGAGGATTTGACACAGCGCTGCAGTCTTAGTACTAAAGTACTTATTAGTACTAAGTACTTTTTTCATATAATCTTTTTTTTTCCTTTAACAAAAAATTTGAACCAATATATATTAATTATTCTTACATGGATGACGATTCCATTGAAATTTTGAATATAGTAAAAATTTAAAGAGTAAACACTATAGGTACAATATTGGAAATGGATAATTCTTTTCCGAACGTCATGGTATACAATTACTTGTCAACTCGTCAACTGATTTTATGTCGAAAAAAAAAGACATCAGCAAATAAGGCTTAATTGCCCATTGAGTAAAAAATGCAATTATTTTGGTACTTGTCTGTAACGCGTTTAAATAAATGTATTTAAAAACGTCAGTTTTAAAAAAAAAATTTTCAATCTTTTAGGGACTTCAACTTTTTAGTGATTACATTTTCGATACACCAAAATGTAAAAAAATAAGCCCCAATCCGTGCTGTCTTTAGCTCTTTTTCCAAGAGGCAACTCTAACTGATTCTAGTACTTGGGACTCCGGGTGCAGTAGCAGAACTACCAGCAGCTGCTCTCCAGGTCCAGTCCAGAGTCTGGACTCCAGACTCCGAAGCAAAAGGACCCTGAGAGCTGAGAGTCAGTTCACAAATGTATCCTAGGTACAGGTGGTGGTGGAGCATCACTAGCATCAGAAAGGAAGCCGCTAAATATCATCGATTTGAGGGTCGGCGACTATTTGCACAAAAACCATAGTTTCCATTTACGGCGTTCCAGGGCGTACAGTGTAGGTACATGCTACATCGCCATATAAGTATCAGTTAAAAAGAGTGCTAACTGCTAAGCCGCACTACCTATAGTAGCCTAGTACCTACCTACTACAATACAATACCTACATGTGTAGGTACATACAACGTATTATTTTAACGTACTTGACTTCTTGTGTGTGTTTATCCGTGTAAAAGTATATATAGATATAAGAGCTCATGCATCGACGAAAACGATAGACGAAAGAGCCGAGTCGAGGAGACCCCACCGACTCCGCGTCCGCGAGAGGAAAATATACTTAGGAGAAGAGAAGCGAGCGGCGAGCGCGCCGCCGTGAGCAGCGCAGCGCGCACACAACCAGCAGAACCTGTGAGCAGAACAAACCAGGATACCTGCAGGGAACAGACGTCGACGACGATGACGAGTCGGAAGTGTCGGAACAACTGAAGATGTATATTATGATCTAAGCTGCTCCTTGCTCGCAACTGTGATTGAACAAAAAAAGCGTTGCTGCTAATGCTGCTTGCTTAGCTTAGTGCGCGAGTGTATGTGTGTATGTGTTGCAGTTCACGACGTTCACGTTCGTTCGTGTGTAGACTGTGTACTTGTAGGTTGTAGGAGTTGTATACGCGATACATTTACTTACTGCAAGCCCAAGCACTGGCACTTGCAGGCAGTAGCTGCAGTCTTAGGTACATAGTTTTAGCAGAGATTCAAGTATAACAGTGAGCATTGAACAATGGAACTGTGCCTCTAAGTGTAATACACGTATACTTGTACACCTATAATTAACAAATATACTAACAGGCATAGTTGAAAAAAAAGCCTGTTTCTGGTGTCTGCTGCTGTCTGTTCGTTGTCGTCTCCGTGTGTATATATCCCATCCATCCCCTGCACTCCTATATACACCCGTTGCCGTGTGTGCGCGCCCGTGCTGCTGCTCTGCTTGCTATACATATATAGTATATAGTGCACACATTTTACCTCTTCCGTGATCGCCATCGCCGTCGTCGTCGTCGGGGTGTGCGCGTGTCAAAATAGCAGAAGCAGAGGAGCAGCACCTACAGTCAGCCAACATAAGTGAATAAGTACCAGTGAAATCGCGAGTATAAGGTCCCGAGTAGGAGGAGAAAAAGGTGCTGTAATGGCTGCCGTACCATGAAATGATGTGAATGAAGGTACCCGTCAACAAAAACGTCCACGTACGTAGGATGGAGGAGTTGATCAACGCCCCGTCGAACGTAGCCTTCGCAGCAGCAGCAGCGACAGCCGCCGCCTCGTCCCAGCAAAATCACAATGGCAGCGCCAACAACGGTGGCGGCGTTGCCGTTGCTGGGGTCGGTCTGCCCTCAATTGGCGGCATCAACGTCTCCCTTAACTCGAACAACAAGCACCAGGCTAACTCAAACGTCGTCGTCGTCGATACCGATATTCAGGGTCCTGGTGGCCCAGCTGCTGGCATCGTGGGAGGCCAGCCGCCCAGCAAAGAGCAGAACTTACACTACACGATGCCCGGGGTCCTGCACTATCTGCAACACGAGTGGGCCAGGTTCGAGCTCGAGAGGTCCCAGTGGGAGCTCGACCGGGCTGAGTTTCAGGTGTGTGTGTGTGTATTTGTGTGTTTCTTGTACGTGCATCGGCTCCTTCTTTTTATTTTTGTTGTTGTTGTTGTTGTTGTTATTGTTGATGTTGATGGGTAATGTTGATATCCAGCTCTACTGCAGACTGCAGAAAAAAGCTTGTGTGATTATTGGTTTACAGTTTATCATCAGACAGCTGCCACTGCTGTGTGTTTTATTATTTTTGATCCTAGTACCTATTTATTGGCCAGAGTGCTACTCAATTTGTATTATTTGGGGTTTTGGAACAAGATAAACGTACATATGTACAACGTAGGTAAAAAAAAGTAAAAATAGCGGTCATTATGTTTTTTTTTTTTATTATGGTTCTCAAAAGTTTCTGCTGAGTGTCGATTTTTCGTTATTGACACTGCTTTAGTTCATTAGTGTCAATTAAAGGTCCGCAATACAGTACGTCGCTTCAAACAATGTGCTACTAAAATAGCAGACAATCTCAAGAATCAGTTACTCAATCAATAATGTTATGCAAATATATTTTTGTTCCACTAAGTTTAATGGTTTGGTCGTAATCTACTCTTGAATCTATTGTTATTGTAGTTGTGGTTATTTAATTTAGAAATTCAAGACTTATTAAACATTTTTTATTTTTCATTTAGTTTGCATAATCAATTAAAAATATTTAAATATATAATACATGCAATATACTTGATCTATGACAAAATTTATTGTGTACAGTTGAGTTGTACCAAGTGGTTATTGCTGTTGACAAATCCAAGTGTTAATGAATTTAAGAAAGAATGTTTTTTTTTACTAGCTTTCAATATGATTACAGAATGAATTCAAGAAGTACAGAACTATTGATTAATCTTTTTGAGTAATGAATAATTAAGGTACTATTTTCAAACACTCGCTTTTTTCAAGTATTAACGATTTTTAGCAAAATCAATGGTAATCTTTCACTGTGATTGTAACTGTATTTAAATAAACTTTACAAATAGCTTCATGTATCTTTAAATGACGAAGAAAAATTTAAAAAAAAAGCGTACACCAACATTTCTATTAATATTAGAACATCTTACTCGGAATTCAAGCATAAAAATAATTGTTCTTCACAAAGCTATTTTATTATAAATTCTTACGTGTAAAGTTAATAATTCACTAGAATCATTAAAGTTTAATGTGCTAAGGTCTATAAATAATCGGTTAAAGCCTAAACAACTATATTTAAAAAATCGAAAAAAAAGGAGAGCTACAACAAAGCCAAGTTGGAAAAAAAACTAACCAGTGCAAAAATGTTAGCTGAAACATTATTTTACAATTCGTTTCGATAGTCTTATGAAAAACCACAAATGATTCACGAGAAATACCCACTAGTAATTTTTGCACTCCATATATTTTTCTTTGCGCTCCAGGAATCAGCGAAATACACCGGGTATCGATTTGAACTTTAAATAATCAAAAGAATGTGCTTTCTTTCCGAGCAAACAGACGCTGCTTCACGCAAATTCTAAATAGAATGCCGAAAAAATGGTTTTCTTCCTGTATCAGACGTTAGTTAACCAGCCCCTATCCTCCCCCCATCTATTTAAAATCAACACCACCAATGAAAAAAAAAAAAAAAAACAACAACCACGAAACAGTGGCTCCTGGAAAACCTTAGCAAATAGGCACTTGATAAATAAGTAATACACGTACACACACCATCGGCTGATTATATATTCGAAACAATATAATTTGATTCTCTCCACGTCATCTTGGCGATCGAAACTTTGCGCTTGTGTTAGTTATACTTATATGGGTATAAGGCATTGCGTCGCGCATGATTATTGGCATAAAACTCTCCCCGCGACTCGTGTGTACTAACTTCAGTTGAAGCACATATAGGAGTAGAGTAGACGAGTATATAGTAGCAGTTCATCGACTTTTTTTATTTTATGTTTCGCATGTGTGTGAATGAACGTGTACGCTATATGTATAGTATACTCTGCACACTGCACGTGTGCACGTAGCCGCAACAATATCCTTCAATTTTTAATGATGCAACCCCTGTGTACTCACTTGTTTTTCTTCGTAAACGTGTGTTTCAGGCGAGAATAGCTTTCCTGCAGGGCGAGAGGAAGGGCCAGGAGAACCTAAAGACAGATCTCGTGCGGCGCATCAAAATGCTGGAGTTTGCGCTCAAACAGGAAAGGTAAAAACAATAATTCCAACGATAATATTATCACTAGTACATCTCTGATACGTGCTTTGTGAGCTCGTGTCCTTACAGTGTTTGCTTTTTTATTGGTCAGACTCGGTATTGATAGGTGACTGTGATCAGCTTTTTTTTTCTTTTTTTTTTTTTCCTCCTCGTCGGAAAAAATAGATAAAGTGATTTCAGTATATTCCAGGTAAAGCTAGAAAGTAATAATTTAACAAAGTTGTCTTTTTACATTTAGTTTGCCACCTTTATCATTAAAAAAAATAATAAAGATAGAAATCCCTATTTAACTTTGCGTTGTACCCCAGTTTTTTTCCCCCTCCATACACGTACAGCCTTTCAAAGAGTAAATTTACATTTCAGTCCTTTTGTGTAATCATAAACGCCAACTTTAACAGTTTAAGTGGAATTATATTGTTTTTTTTTTTTAATCCATTCACTGATTCACCGATAAAGATGAATACTATTCAACATCGTTGAATGCAATCTGAACTGATAATTGCGAAATTTTTATTATCTTTCTTCCCCGAGTGTTTCTTTGTAATGTCGTATCACTTGGAAAATAATGACGGTGTACGTGATATTGGCACTGAATTAGTTTCACCAAATATTTGAAACAAATTTTTTCACATCATTGAACAACCCGAAGAAATAGCAATTGAGAACAAAAAATATCCTCACCCACGAGATTGCGCGATTTCGCTTTGCGAGTCCTTTTTTTATAAGGTTCACTTATTACGCGAAAACGCGGAATAGCACGCTCGATGAGCACAATGTTCGTATAGGTACCTATACACACGCCGCGGTGAAATTTTCAGCGCAAACCAATTAAATTAATTTCTTTGCTCGGCAAGTTACCTATTGCGGGTGGCCGTGCCCATAATAATCAGTATAATATATACTCTCATTTTCATTCGGTATCGCTGCTTTTCCATCTTAGACTTTCTTCGCTTTTTCTTTTTCCCCACATCGTATGGTATATCTAATTGTACCGTCAAACACTGCCAAAAGCGAAATCCCACTAATATATACGCTTCTGCGGTATCGCAAATCAATTATATCTTCTGTCTGCGATGATTTTTGTTTTACTCATTCCTGGATTCACAACTTGCCAAGAGAAAAAAATTTAACTCCATGCTCGAGCCTGCTCAACTTGTCAATAGAAAATCACTTGCGACGCACAAGAGGAGCATTCAACTTTTCGTTACGCTAGAAAAAATACAGTTGAAACAGTACAGGGAGAAAGGGAAGAAAGCGTTACCGCACGTATCTGATTATTATTACAGATCCTCCTCCCAACAGTATATACCCATGCAAAAACTATCTCTGTCGATACTCTTACGTAGTTGTTGTCGAGGAAATTGAAAAATCAAGACGTTTTTTTATGCACGCGCGTACCCATCTCGAGGGAAAGCTGATGTTAATTAATGCATTTTTCCAGGGCAAAGTATCACAAATTGAAGTACGGCACGGACCTGATTATACCGGGGGACGGCAAGCCCTTCGAGGAGGGTAGTATTTGCGCGACGACCGAGAATCAGTTGTCCGACAACGAGGCGCCCTTTACGTCTGTCAATAACATCAGCTGGAGACAAGGACGACAATTGTTGAGACAGTAAGGACCTTTTTTTTTTTTTTTTTTTTATAAATATTATAACTATACCATAAAATTTCATACTTAGGTATCTCATAATTAATAGCTATTACATGACGTCAGTTTTGTACATTTACTCGTATACGCGTACTCGATTAGAGAGATAAAGAGAATTTTATTATGCGTCTAACAGAGCGTTGATTTGGACTCTAATGTTACGTTAACTCAAATAATACATAGCTGCTCTCGCGGAGATACTTGTGCGAAAATTGTATAAATTTATTGCATTTTTTTTTTTTTCTTCGCATTTATTGATTTTTTTCATTGATTCATAAATATTTCATTTTTAATATTAATATTACTCTTCGCGTTTGATGATTAAATGATCTGGTTATTGAGTAGGTAATAAGGTTATTGTTGAAAACAGGCGTGAATGTAATTCAACGTACAGATGCTTTGTTTTTATCAAACGATGTAAAGGTAGTTTAATATCTCATAATGTGTGTACATACTAAGCTGCTAGTCGTGTATCTTCATAATACTGATTTCGCGCCATTACGTAATGAATGTGTACAAAATTAGATTTCACTGATGAAGATTGTCGGGCTTAATTATTTTTTCGTAGTAATTACATTTTTTAGCTAGTAAAATATATCACACGTTAGGAGTCAGATTGAAATTCAATGAATTAATTTTTTCAGGTATTTACAGGAAATCGGTTACACTGACACAATAATAGATGTACGATCAAACAGGGTAAAGTCCCTACTCGGTTTGAATAACAACACTGACTCAGAAGAAACAAATACTCAAGGTTTAACAGGAAATCAGCGCTGTAATTTAAGCTCTAAGCTTCGTACATCCGCGGGAGTCTGTGTAAATGATCAAGATACAATATATTCTTACAATTATGCGAATTTGTTGTACATTGTTTTGGCGCGTGTTTATTTAAAATGATAAAAACTTTTGCAGCGTCCGACAAGTATGGCCGAGGCTATGATTATGAAAACAGAAGCAGCTGTGATGGCGAATTTCGAATTTCTTGCCCATACAGATATTGACATTGAAGAAGACGAAAATGACGGTGAAGAGGAGATTTATGACTCAAATACAGACTCTAAGCAAAATAAAGTAAGCGACAACATCATTTTCAACAGCAATGACTTTAACGCAGTTCAGTAACAAAACAATTTGACTAATTAATAGTTGGCTAGTAACAAATTAAATATATTAGCACGCATTACTAATCGTTTTCTATACATTTTACTTTGGCAGACGTCTATTATGTTAGGAGAAGATGTTGACGCAGAAGCGGAAGAAGTTTTAAACGAATTGAATCTTTTAACGGAACATGAAGAAGCAATTATACACGTAGATATGGACACTAGTAATTGGAGTAAGTTGTATTTTTTAAATCCACGTGGTTCAACACCTAGCATGATTTTTTTATATACGTGAAAACTTTTATCCATCTAGATGCAGTTCATAGAGGAATGCAATCGGATCCCAGACGACCTGGCGAAGAAAGTGGATCGTCATTGGGCTTAGGTGAATTAGCTCAGTTAACTGTCAATAATGATGCCGAAGCAGCATATGATGTACGGTAGTCTTTTTATAATTATTTGTACTTTCTTCGATGTTATTTCTTTTATTGTTAATTTTTTTTTCCTGCAATTTTCCAAGATACAGGCAAATAATGAAGAACCACTTAGAAAATCATGGAACGCAAAATATACTCTACGTTCGCATTTCGATGGTGTCAGAGCACTCGTTTTTCATCCAACGGAGCCAGTTTTAATAACTGGAAGCGATGATCATACACTTAAACTATGGAATCTTCAAAAGACTGTTCCTGCAAAAAAGTATCCATCAAAAGACATATTCTTTATTAAATGCAAAAACTCTTCTTGAGACACATTTGTGTGAGACTTGATTCTGCTTTCTTTTAGGTCAGCATCATTAGATGTAGAACCATTGTACACATTTAGGTCGCACACAGGGCCTGTTTTATGTTTAGCGATGGACAACACGGGAAGTCACTGTTATAGCGGCGGACTGGACAGCAAAATACACTGTTGGACACTACCGCCGGCTAACATAGATCCTTACGACTCGTACGATCCTAGTCTGCTTAGTCAAACGTTCACGGGACACACGGACGCCGTTTGGGGCTTGAGCATGTGCCACTCTCATTCGCAACTGCTGTCTGTCAGTGCGGATGGTACCGTCAAGCTCTGGAGTCTCTCTAGCAAAGTTCCGCTACTCAACACTTACACATCTGAGCGAGGTACATTTTGTTAATGTTACGCAGCTTAGAACAACGATTTATCAAATAGTTTCGTCAACTTGTTTTTTTAACACTTACAGATAGGAATCCTACATCGGTAGATTTCATAAGAGACGAGCCGCACAAGCTGGTCGTTGCGTACGAAGAAGCGTGTGTAATTTATGATGCCGAGACAGGCGTGGTTGTATCGAGATTGTCGGGCAATGAAATTCAGGGCGTTAATCGACTTGTGGCTCATCCCATACTTTCACTGGTCGTGGCGGCCAACGAAGATCGTCATATTCGTTTTTATGATCACCGTTCCGCCAGCCTCGTACACGCAATGGTGGCGCATTTGGACGCTGTTACTAGTCTTGCTGTAGATCCTAATGGTCTTTATTTACTTTCTGGAAGTAAGCATATATCTTGATCGTTATTTGATTCGATAAAACTTTATTCAAAAGTCCATCTCTTTTATTTGATTTTTACAACTTTTTTTTTCATTTCAGGTCATGATTGCAGTATAAGGTTGTGGAATATGGATAATAAGACTTGTGTCCAAGAGATAACAGCACATCGTAAAAAGTTTGATGAAAGTATTTTAGACGTAGCATTTCATCCTTCGCGGCCATTTATCGCAAGTGCAGGCGCCGATGCTCTCGCCAAAGTATTCGTGTGAATACCAAAATCAGATCGGTCAAACTGTCTTGGTCTGAGTCATTTAATGGTTTTTGTACTCATATTTTTTGTAGATTTACGTGTACGCATCACACTTCCAAATCCGTTTTAAATTAAGATATTATTATTAAAAAAATAGAAGTAACTTTTTAGAGGAAAAAAAAAAAAGAAAAATAAACAAATACCTTATTAAATGTTCAGATACACAGCATAAGGTACGATTATTGTATAATTTTCAAAATTAAAACTATTTCAAGTTGAATCAATTTTTTGTTAATAAAAAGATCACTTGTTGGTAGACATCCAGTGTGAATGTGAATTTGCATATATTATATATAAATATATAACACTACGATCTGCCATTCCTCGTTTAAACAAACGCAGCCGTTAAAATCGTTCAGTGATTTCGTCTTCTGTTATTTACGGAAACAATGAATTTTAGTCAAGGATATTACGTGCATACAACTCTTAGTTGTGCCTTGGATTATTTTATGAATAATAGTACAAAACATTGAATACGAAAATGAAATTTTTTTTGTTACTTTTTATAATTCCATTCGAAATTCCTATTATACACTGGGCGTTCGTTAATAAAAAAAATACATACATGCATGATATTATTACTATTATCATTTTTATTATTATTATTAAACTTAGAGGGTAACGCGAAAAAAAACGAAATCATCAAAACAAAAGTACAATGATTATTTCATGTATATTTATAAACAAATACTCAAGGTTTAACAGGAAATCAGCGCTGTAATTTAAGCTCTAAGCTTCGTACATCCGCGGGAGTCTGTGTAAAAACCCCGGAACCAGGATTTTGGTTTTGAGGATTTGACACAGCGCTGCAGTCTTAGTACTAAAGTACTTATTAGTACTAAGTACTTTTTTCATATAATCTTTTTTTTTCCTTTAACAAAAAATTTGAACCGATATATATTAATNAAAATAACATATTTTATAGACCTATTGATTTTTATGACAGTTCATATTTTCTACAGTCTTCTTTAGTAAAATACAAAATGTGTTAATTTACATAAATTGACTTCAATGTACACAATTTGTTATAAAAAATTTTTTTTGACCATTTTCAAAAAAATCATATTCAATAACTGCCTCTAAAAATTACGAAATGGTCACTGTTAGAGACAATAAAATGAAAGGCGTCAAAAATTGATGAACGAAAAACTGTTTAGCTTGTAAAACTTAAAGTTAATTGCGGCCATGGTCTTATAAAAGGATTATATCACGGGAAGGTAAATTAAAAAATTGTTAATATGTAATCTAATTTTTTGTCATCAAAATTATGGTTTGCGAAGGTCGAGGACAAACACACTGCCGTCAGACGCTGAAGCTCCGACTTTGTCTCCCCTGCTGTTCCAGCACACCTCGAAAATTCCTCCGGTTCCTTTGTAGCTATGCACTAGTTGACCACCCTGTGGAATGAATAAAATAAAGACATTTGAGTATAACAGTTTGAAAATAAAAATGTTTTGCACCTGAAATTACACCATCGTAAACGATAGCGTATTTTCATTTCTGTTTTGCACGCTAAGCACATGCAATGCTTGTTTTCCAATACTAACCTGCGTCGACCATATGTGCACGTATTTATCAAAACTTCCGCTAGCTAAGAACTTGCCGTCCGGACTAAACGCTACGCTGTATACTGGCTCGGTATGTTTGGTCAAAGTAGAAATACAGGTACCTCTTTCGATGTCCCACAGTCTTACAGTAGAATCAAAGGACGCACTGACCAGAGTCAAGTTCATATTGGGATTCTGTGTACCTGGGCCAGTGGGCGACCATTTGATCGTGTAAATTTCTTTGCTGTGTGCTTGAAGATCGTGCAGGCAAGTATCTTGTTTCATTGACCAAATTTTAAGAGTCATATCATCTGAACAGCTAGCTAACAGGTTACCTTGAGGATCCCACTTGATGGCATTTACTTCATTCTAAGGAAATAAAAAAATTAAAAAAAAATTTTAATTCATTCAAGGGGTCTTAGGGCCCAAAAAAAAATTAGTTAAAAGACCAATTTTCAAATTTTAATTTTTTTAAACTCACAGTATGCCCTTGGAAACTCTTAATAGGTTTGTCGACGTTAAGCTTGCACACATGGATGCATTGGTCGGTGGAGCAACTAGCAAAAGATGTGTTTGATTGCCAATCGACATCAAGGGCCGGTGCAGTGTGGAAACTAAATTGCTGAGTACATTGGCCACTTGCAGCATCCCATATAATCGTAGTTTTATCTACTCCTGCACTCAAAATATAGTTTCCCCGCTTATTCCACTTGAGAGCAAATATTGGCCCTTTGTGCTGGCCTAACGTTGACGCCAACCTGCCGTCAGTTGTCCAAATTCTAGCATAACCATCATAACTTCCCGTCGCTAATAGTGTTCCATCGCACTGGTACACGAAAAATGTGTGTTAATTGATTTAAGTGTTTACAATGTTTAAATTGATTATAAATTGCCAAGCATACATTCCAATCTAAAGATGTGACATCCTTATTACTTGGTACTTCAGTTCCACCCCGCTGAATACAATGTCGCAACACTAATTGATTTGGTGACTGTGAGTTACCAGACATATCCCAAATACGAGCCGTGCTATCCCCAGACCCAGAAGCCAGGAGATCCATGGTTGGATTCCAAGCACAAATAAATACTTCTGATTCATGCCCGCATAATTTTGTAGCTTTGCTCGCTGGTATCTTGACTGAATTGGCGTTAGGTCCAGCACCTTGTCCTGATTGTTGGTCCTCAACTTCCATTTCTTGCCTTTCGTTTGCTTTGTTATTTGCGTCTGCACCTTCACTGGCAGGAACTGTTTACATAAAAATATATATATATATCTTTTTTTTACTATTTATGTTGTACTAATTCTGAATTAAAATACTATTTTCTTATAAAGACAAAGTGAATTAATTTGTTTAACTCATGAAGAAGTGTTTGTTTCAAACTGTTGGATATCCTTCAAAAATTTCAAAACTTTTTTTGCCTTAAAAATGGCTTTAATTAAAACCTTGTAAAAAAATAATCCAAAATGCAAAAAAAATTTTGAAGGTGTCGGACATCTTACATGTTAAAACAAGTTTAATCTACCTGGTCAGGAAGGAGGTTTACAAAGGTATACTTTTATAAACCAGGGTGTACCAGGTATAATGACATTCCCTTCATTAGCACAAACATTATGACCATACCTTCTTCTCCATTTGTGTCTTGAACATCCTTTGTAATCTGCTGTTTCTGCTGACTTTGCTGGTTCTGCCGGGATACCACGATGTCTGGCATCACAGCATCAATCAACGAGAGCGATTCCACTACTCTCTGTTCCGTTCCATCTTCGCCTATCGAGATTTCAGCTTCTGTGTACTGCAAACCTTTCTGAAGAATACAAAGCAAGGCAGCTGGAGGCACCAGGGCACCATTTATGTTGCTCTGGGAAATGTGTGACTCTATACCAAAAGTGTAGGCAGAATGCTGAAATCCTAAGTACAAAAGTGAAAGATATCATAAGTATTGTTTATTGTACACAATAAGGTTGTTGGATATGGCACTAATGTCTAACAATGGTTCTGAAAAAATAAAACAAATCTACTTCAGGCAAATATTTCAAATTTTTTGATACGCGAAATGGGAGAGCACAACAAAAAATTAACGGTATCTGGAGCTTGACACATATCCTGGCTAAGTTATACTTTAAAACATCAAATGAACAAAATAATAAAATGCAACAGGTATTTATATACACAGACGCGAAAAGACGACAACAATATCGAGCATCGGCAAGTAGCACATTAGAGGTTATGACACTTGGCATGGTATAACTTACCCGACTCCTGGAGGTAACGGTAGACGAGAAAGTTAACTTCATCACTAGAGAAGCTCATGATTTTGGTTTTGTTGTGTACTGTTTTTCATGAAAGCATCTTCTTATTGCACACACATACCCGCGAACGACGCGTCCTTCGTCCTTCGCTCTCTTTTTATGTTTGAGCCAAATCCAAGTACCTAACTCTGTAAATGTCGTTGTAAATTTGGTACTTAGTCAGAAAGAGAAGATCTGTATGAATGTACTATTGAACCGTACTGTGCATGTATACTCTAGTCTGGTGGTAGCCCTGTATAAATACAAAGTCCACCGTATTTGGCACTTGGTACTTGGTACTTGCCGTAGTGTGGTACTTAAAGTGTGAAAATAAAATTTTTATAAGCCTTAATATAAGTAGAATATTTATATTTTTGGAGGTCGATTTTCGGACAGAAAATAAATTATAAACTTGCCGCAAACAGCACAGAACACGTAAACTTTTCATTTTATACAACTAGGATTAGTTGCGGCTGGTTTATAATTAATAAAATGACTCTACTGTGAATAGAATTAATCATTTGTATCAGCGCCATCTAGCGGTCTTTATTTTTTGGCCAAAAGTGGCTCCTAAAATTCTCAATCAGAGCAATCAGGATTAGAGCCATTCAGTCAATCATAAACCAGCCGCAACTCATGATAAAGCTATAAAATAAAAAAATAACGATATATGTGTTTTTGGCGGCAAGTTAACAATTTATTTTTTGCCGAAAATTTATCTTCAGAAGTATAAACACATAGAAGGTCAATTTTTTGATATAAAATAAATTGTTAACCTGCCGCCAAAAACACATGTATCGTTATTTTTTTATTTTCTAGCTACCAAGTGAGTTGCGGCTGGTTTATAAATAATTAAATGGCTCTAATCCTGATTGCTCTGATTGAGAATTTTAGGAGCCACTTTTGGCCGAAAAATAAAGACCGCTAGATGGCGCTGATCCAAATAATTAGTACTATTACTATTTACAGTAGAGGTATTTTATTAATTATAACCCAGCCGCAACTGATTTAATGGATAGACAATAAAGAGTTAAAAATCTTTCTGCTATTTGCGGCAAGTTTACAATTTTTCTTTTATCCAAAAAATGACAAAAATTGACCTTCCATACATCTGTACTTTTGGAGATCGATTTTCGGGTAAAATATAAATTGTTAGTTGCGGCTAATACTGTAAATATAAAACACATAGTTAACGCTGTCTGAGCTAGTTGCGGCATGTTTACAATTTATATTTTACCCGAAAATCGATCTCCAAAAGTACAGATGTATGGGAGGTCAATTTTTGTCATTTTTTGGATAAAAGAAAAATTGTAAACTTACCGCAAACAGCAGAGAAAATTTTAACTTTTTATTGTCTATCCATATAATTAGTTGCGGCTGGTTTATAATCAACAAAATGACTCTACTGTAAATAGTAATAGTATTAATTATTTCGATCAGCGCCATCTAGCGGTCTTTATTTTTTGGCCAAAAGTGGCTCCTAAAATTCTCAATCAGAGCAATCAGGATTAGAGCCATTTAGTCAATAATAAACCAGCCGCAACTCATAATGAAGCTATAAAATGAAAAAAAACGATACATGTGTTTTTGGCGGCAAGTTAACAATCTATCTTTTGCCGAAATTTTATCTTCAAAAGTATAAATACATAGGAGGTCGATTTTTTGATAGAAAATAGATTGTTAACTTGCCGCCAAAAACACATGTATCGTTTTTTTTTCATTTTATAGCTTCATTATGAGTTGCGGCTGGTTTATTATTGACTAAATGGCTCTAATCCTGATTGCTCTGATTGAGAATTTTAGAGGCCACTTTTCGCTCAAAAATGAAGACCGCTAGATGGCGCTGATCCAAATAGTCACTACTACTAATAATAATTAACTATACTTACAGTAGAGATATGTGATTAATTATAAACCAGCCGCAACTCGTCCTACAGACATAAAATAAAAAGGTTACATTTTTTGTGTTATTTGCGGCAAGTTTACAGTTTATCTTTGACAAAAAAATTGACTTTCAAAAGAATAGACAGATAGGAGGTCGATTTTCGAGTAAAAGATAAACTTGCCGCAAATAGCACAATCAACGTTATCTTTGTATTTTATATCGTTCAGATTAGTTGCGGCTGGTTTATAATTGATTAAGTGGCTCTAGGCGGTAAAACTCTGGTTCTGAAGTTTAGAGCCACTTTTTAGTTCAGAAACCCGCAACGCTAGATGGCGCTGATCCAAATAATTATTACAACTTACAGTACTCATTTTATTAATTATAAACCAGCCGCAACTAATTTTATGGATAGACAATATAAAGTTAACGTTTTCTGTGCATTTGCGGCTAGTTTACAATTTATCGTTTACCCGTAAACAGACCTCCAAAACCAAAAATCTTCTACTTATCTTATATGGCCTCTAACCATTTTATTTACCACACTTAAGTACCACACTACGGTAAGTACCAAGTGCCAAATACGGTGGACTTTGTATTTATACGTTACTCAATTCTTAACTTTTAATTTTTTTTTTTAGCAAAAACCGAATATGGTACAAGATGTTAATTTAAATTTAAATTTTAAAAGTCAGACTAAAAATGTCACGAAGTATCATCACATGCATCTTAATTACAATGTACTAATGATCAAAAGATTTGTCGGTTATTGTTTTCTTTTATGTTACACTCACTACAAGTGTTTTAATTACATTGTATGAAGAGTTTTATATTATAAATGGTTGTTTGGATAAATTTATGTACCATTTGATAAATGGTAGGATTTACTGAAAAAAAGAAAAAATTTTTTAAACTTTTTTAATTAATAAAAATTGTACAGTTTATGAAGTGATAATGGTTTCAAGTTTGACTTGTTTTTTGCTCTTAGATTTGATCTGTGCTGCAATACGATCAAGATCCCTGCGTCCCTGGCTTGTCAGTTGGCGACCACCATTGGGTGTCTTCTCGATCAGTTTAAGCTGCTCCAAGCTCTGAAGCGCTCTACGAGCAACACCCTTGGAGGATTTACAAAAATGACTTGGGTGGGTGCCGTTCCTTTTTCGACCACCAAAGATTTTGGTGACTGCTCCAACACCAATGGGCGAGCGGATGTAAATATGCCTAGCCAGGGCAGCACACCTGACGTAGTACCAGTCTGGATCATAGGGAGCAAGTTCCTTGAACTTGCCAGACTTGACGATGTCAATCCATTCTGGGACGCGCATTTTGCCAGTCCTAGAAAACAATAATAGTTAAAATCACACCTTGAAAAAGAAGTAACTGTACAATGTGCGATTTTTAAGCAAAATCTTGTGAGTGTATCACATGTTAGTGATACATGCTTTGGTTGACATATCTTTTAGATCTTGCATTAACATTCAGTATAAAGAAGATATACGTCGCAAGCAGCGTAAACTGTATTTTGTTGATTGAATTGAGCCGAAAGGTAATTTTTAAAAGAAACATGCAGATTGACAATACATAGTTACTGCTAATCACCAGTTTTCGAGGTTAGACTAGCATATATGTAAAACAAACACGGCTAACTTACTTCTTCAAGAAGGCAGAGAACGCCTTGACGAATTTGTGCTGATCAACATCTTTGAGAGTTACAGACGGCATCTGAAAATTTGTTGATGGAAGATTAGTTGTCAAGGTAGAACAATGGACCTAAAGTTTGGGACGCCACGTGAGTTGGCAAGTCACCGCAAATGAACGAAATTTCACTTCGCTCTCACGTAGTTCCACTATCAATTTGACACGCAGAATTAATAAGAATATCGATGTTCAACCAGTCGATTATTACTTAAGACAAAAATGAAATAATTACTTTTTGTTGAAGAAGCTTTCAACCTGCTAGTTCACAACAAAGTTGCCTGACCAAAAAGGAAGAACTTCGATGTTGTTCGAGTTGGAGCGTTGGAGGTTCGTGATGTATTTGAGGACGGTAATAGGGGGTTCGATGGTGTTGATTGTCGCTAAAATCGTTTGAGCGCCAAAATTTAACATTGCGGGAAATTCAAATTTCGTTTTTTTTTTTTTTTTTTTTTCATGTCAATTGATTGTTTCTATACTACTGAATAATTCTCCTCAAAGTATTGAGAGTACAGAGTACCGTGATGATGATGGTGGTCCCTTAATTTCAAAGTGTTATTAATGTTTTACTATTTTCTCAAGTGTAGAAAAAGATACTGGGCCTAAATAAATTGTTGAAAATTGTAGCTTGTATTTGTTTATAATTAATTTTAGTTTATGAATTTACATTATTATATGTCTAAAGAGGTGAAAAACTATCACACTGTGCCACAACAGTTCAACACACACTTTCTCATCCACCTGATACTCCAGATTTAGCGCCTTCCGCTGGTTTTTTGTGTATCGAAATATGAAAACTTGTCTTGGAGATAAAAAAATTCCATCAAACGAAGACGGTTTTATTACTGCTAAAAATGAATATTTTCAGGAATTTGACAAAAATTACTAAGTATATTGAGGACATTCATAAGATTTTCTGAACGCCGTCCCTCGTAGTGATTTGTTTAAATTATTATATTTATTACGCTAATCAGTAGTTTGACGATGTTACATTTATTAAATTGACCAAGAATAAAAAAATTTCAAGAGTTCAAAATAGTAAGTTTTTCTCTGATACTTATAAAAATCCGAACAGTACATTTACATTTGATTGTTACATTAACATTGATTAAAACTTTATTGCATTTTTTGTGAAATGATCCATATACCCACTTCTCCATATAAATAATACATATATATATATAGGTGAACGAGTACATAAAAACATCTATTGCTCTTATTTGCAGTTTGCAGTTTGCAGTTCTTGCAGTCTTGCATCTTGCACATAAAGCTCTGGGTGTAGCTTTGGGCCCTAAAGAGTATTTGTATGTAAGAGTTGAACCGAGGAAGGAAAGCTACAGGATTCCAATGAGAGAGTATCAGTAAGAGATGGGTGTCATCTTCCTGGAGCACATCGGCGGCACGCGTCTCTTCTCCTGCGCGTCCTGCGACACGAATCTGACTAACCGAGAACAATTGATAAGTACACGGTTTACCGGAGCAACAGGCCGCGCATTTCTCTTCAACAAAGTTGTCAATCTCAAGTACAGGTGAGCTCTATCATAGTCAATAAGATTATCCATTAGTTTATTTATTTACCGCCGGTGTCATTGGCCCTTGACACGTACAAGGATGAAAGATATTACCTACTGGGTTACCGATAGTTTTAAAGGTTATGTAGAAGTTAACTTTGGTTGCAACGTTTTATTTATTTTGCTTACTGTACAAGACGCAAGTATACTTTTACATAAATTCTCTTACCATATTATGTTGGTTATTTTATGGTGTAATTGTTTCATTTGATTTTTGCGGTGGTACGCTCTGTTTATATTTGATTGTCTTTTATCTTGACATGGTGTATTTTTACTGCTGATAAAACTGTAAAGATTTATTCATTTCCACAATTCTTATTATGAATACTTATGTCTTTGTTACAAGTCAAATCATAGGTATTGATTTTGTTGTTTTGTTTGCAGTGAAGTTCAAGACAGGGTCATGCTGACTGGTCGACACATGGTACGAGATGTGAGTTGCAAGAACTGTGATGCCAAATTAGGCTGGATGTACGAATTTGCGACGGATAAGAACCAACAGTATAAAGAGGGAAAAGTTATTTTGGAGCGTGCACTCATTACTGAGAGCGATGGCATTGGAGACAACATATGAGTTGTGCAATGTATTTTTATTATTAGAGACTCTATTAGCTTTAACCTTTACTGTACAATGACTGTAATTATTTTATATTTATTATAAGACATACGACAAAGTATGTTAAAGGCATATATTGACATTTGACACATAATGACTTCTAGCTCATCTAGATAAAATTTACTGTGTAATCTCGTATTTTGATTGAGTGATTGAAATATTTTATGGATTACAAAAAAAAGTTTTATTTTAAGAGAAAAAGTATATTAATAGCTTTGTTTGTGTGATTTATAATATAAGTTGGTTTTATTTAAAATGTTTTATCGTTATAAGTGTCCAGTAAAGATTTAACATATTTGTATCATGTTTGCAGAGATTATACAATTAATTACGTGCATCTACAAACATAAGAAAGAAAGACGTGATAATCTCATTGGTATTGTGTTTGTTGAAAAGTCAAGATATTATTTGAATAAAAAATGATTTATAAACATTACGTTTATTTTTCGCACTAGTTGGTGTTATTCATCGCCAGTTGTCAAAAAATAGTAGTTTTCCTACGAGTTTGAAAAGTCTCTGTTTGCGAACCGAGAGGTTTGCGGCCCGAGCCGAAGGCGAGGGACGTAACGAGGTTCGTAAAGGAGACTTTTTGAACGAGTTCCGGAAAACTGCTTTTTCGCCCGAGGAAGTACCAGCCTCCCAAAACCACCCGAGTGCGGAAAATACTATTTTTTTCCAAAACTAAACAGTTGTGTAGTTATGTGCATGGTGGCGAAAATCGAATCTGACTTTCGGAACATTCGGAGCGTACCCTACATGGAGCATGGAATGGATGGCGCGCTTTTCTTTAATTCAGGCGGCAGGTCGTCGGACTCGTCGCCCTCGTCGGTTGTCGGCTTGTCGCTCGTCGTATATACACCTACAACAACACCCTATACCTACTATACGCAGAGTGCGCACTCAGTGTCCCTATTATTATATACATTTACACGTCCTCCTCACTCTGTAGGTATTCGAGTCATCGACACACGGAATTGAAGCCAGTTGGGCAGTCGATGAATTTTTGCGCGATAGTGCATTTTGATTTGCACTCGCGCTTTTATCGTTTCAAAGTTCAGTAAGCAGCCGAGTTAAAATAAAAGGGAAACTCATTTCTCATTGTATCATGACAGAGATCATGAAATGAAAACAACAGCTGCAACAATAACAATAAGCACCAAAGAAAAAGAGGAAGAAGAAGCTGTTGTGCGATGAGCTTTGATGTGGGGCTAAACGAGGCTCCTCATCATCACCAAAAGAACACGTTATTATTTTTGGGCCGTTGAAATTTCATTTACTTGATATATTTATTAATTTTTGTTTTTTGTATATATTATCAACGCCTTGTTGATATGCCTCATCGATTCTTGCGTCTTTCTCGGGAATAAAGTTTCTAATATCGATATCATAGCAAGGGAATAAGATGCTCGTCATTATGAATGAAAGCTTCAGCAAGGAAAATAAACGCCTGACCAAGTGGTTTGTACATTTTGTTTGAAAAGAAAAAAAAAAAAGAAGCAAGATAAGAAAATGTAATCTCAGCAGTGCCAGTCTTATAGGGGCAAGATAAGTTTAGTGTGGAATTCTTTAGAACCTTTTATTGGGAATGTTGTTGGTGGAATACCTTAGAGCTGAAGGCACAGATGAGATTCAACTCTGAGCGCTATGATGCTTTGGAATGTCATTTTGGTGTTTATTTGTTTCCACTTGGCTACTGGAATATCCATGAGTGAGTAATTTTTATTGATTGGTACGAGGCCGAATATGATTCATTAAAATTTTCATAGAGAATCCTTGAATGTGCATTGATTTGTTTTTCAGACCAACCAAGTGGCTATTGCGCGCCTTACAACGGTAAAATTTGTAAAAAATATCTTACTGGCATTGGGACGGTTTGGTTCAATGATTCGATTGATAACCCTAGTGGCTGGCTTAATGAAAAAATCACGTCCGATCTCTGGGACGATCTGATACAAAAATTAACTGAACCATGTCGCTCAGCTGCAGAGGTAAACAATACTTGGCTTTTTATTTCAAAAAAATACTTGTTTGGCTTTATCATACTTGAATGAATTTTTGTATTTACAGAAAATGTTATGCTTTTATGCATTTCCACAATGCCAAGGAGGGATTGGCCTACCTCTTTGTTACGAAGACTGCATGGCTGTTAAACTTCAGTTGTGTTTCAATGACTGGGCTTTGATCGAAGATGACAAGCTCAGGAAAATTTACAGAAGGTCGCGTGGACACTTCAGACTGCCAGAGTGTGAAAAGTTACCAAAGATTTCCAAGGAAAAAAATTCGTGCTCTCATGTCTCACTGACTGTTATGAAAGAGGATCAAATAACATGTTAGTTAAAAAGTAAACATTTTTCATTAAAAGTGTATGGTAAATAACTTTGGCTATTTTTTAGATGACTGTTATAAGGATAAAGGACAATTTTACATGGGTAAAGTGAATAGAACAAAAAGTGGTATAGCTTGTCAATATTGGAAGGATCAAAAACCGCATAGTCATGATGGACCACCCGATGTATTTCCACAAATTCGTATGGGAGAAAACTACTGCAGAAACGCTGGTGGTGATGAAAAAATGCCGTGGTGTTTTACGGTTAACCCTGACACGAGGTGGGAGCATTGCGACATTCCTTTATGCGGTAAGAATAAGATTCTCTTAACATCAATTTTAAGCAAAGATAATTAATACGCAATTACCTATATTTATTTATTTATTTATTTTTTTTTTAGCAAATTCAACAGATATAAATATTAAGGGAGCACCTCAAAGTGAGTTCAATTGGTATGACAGTTTATCAAGACCAACTATTTTGCTTGTCATATCAACTTTATTATTTATCGTCGTGCTTATTGCTTTACTGATTTTACTGATAAGGCAAAGATTTTACAAACGACATCAAGGATACAATCAGACCGAGTGCCAGGTGCCATTTATTCAAATTCTAATGTAAAATATAATCCAAAAATATTCGAGCTCTTAAAACTTTCATTTTTTTTTTTTTTTTTTACCATTTCAGGAAGTTAATATCGACTTGAATAAACTGCCGAGCAATGATGCTTACCACAAAACCGGCATCCGACTGAATCCAAAATTGGAAAAACTCGAGTTTCCTCGAAACAACATAATTTACGTGCGAGATTTGGGGCAAGGCGCCTTTGGCCGAGTATTCCAAGCTAAAGCACCTGGTCTTGTGCCCAACGAGGAATTTACGAATGTCGCCGTCAAAATGCTCAAAGAGGAGGCCTCCGACGATCTGCTGGTCGACTTTGAGCGTGAAGCCTGTTTGCTAGCCGAGTTCGATCACCCGAACATTGTCAAGCTACTGGGTGTATGTGCCATGGGCCGGCCCATGTGTCTACTGTTCGAGTACATGGGTAGGGGTGACCTGAACGAATACCTCCGCATGTGCTCGCCCTACGGTAACTACGTGCGCAACATCGTGGAGGACACCTACTCGGATTCGCGATTGTCGCACATGGAACTCATTAAAATAGCCATGCAGATTGCCTCGGGTATGGTGTACCTGTCCGACCGGAAGTTCGTGCATCGAGACTTGGCGACAAGAAACTGCCTCATCAATGACGAAATGGTTGTGAAGATCGCTGACTTTGGCTTGTCGCAAAAGATTTACTTGCAGGACTACTACAAGGGTGACGAGCAGGATGCGATACCAGTGAGATGGATGCCTCTGGAAAGTATACTTTATAACAAGTACACCGTCGAGTCGGACGTCTGGGCTTTCGCAGTCTGTCTCTGGGAGTTATTTAGCTTCGCTCTGCAGCCATATTATGGTATGACTCACGAGGAAGTAGTAAAGTACATCAAAGAGGGCAACGTGCTCCAGCGTCCAGATAATACGCCGCTCACGGTCTACGAGCTGATGAAGCAGTGCTGGAATAAGAAACCATCGGACAGGCCGTCGTTCAAGTTCATCTATGAAACTCTCAATAGCATAAAATGTGAATTGAAGGCTGAAAACAAATCCAACAGCGTTCCTCTGCATATACATTTGTAAATTTAACTCTAATTGTATTTTTTACATTATTTATATACAAATTGCTTTTTGAGCTTTACATTTGGGATGCTGTTGTAACGACTGAATTCACAGCTCAGATCGCGAAAATAATAAACTCGCGTGAAAATTTTGAGCTCAAAAATTTAGACAGCATCAACTGGTTTTAACACAAGGTCGCTATTTTCGACTTATTTTTGTTTTGTAAAAAAAAAAAAACAAAAAAAAAATGAAAAAAAAACTGTGCTTGCTGTCAGAGGAGAAAAAATTGTGTTCCCTACTTACACTCGACAAACGCCGTTCTAGAAATTTATGTCTAGTGTAAATTTTGAGAATGAGTGTTTTTACAAGTATAAGAGGAGAGTGCAAGTACAATTTTATAAAATTTTTACAAAATACTTAAGATGATGTGAAATCCTATAGGTTTCTCTAGAATCCTGTTACCAATACACTGATAATTTTAGTACAACTCTAAAACTTTAAGAGAACTAAACTTTCAAAAGCGTTTCATATCTATGTGCTTATTGACTGATTTTCAGTATTCTTTAACGTATACATTGATTAAGTTTTTTAAAGTTGATTGGAATACTGTTAAAATGTAACAAGTTTTTTGCTTGTTAAACATTTCAATTGAGTTGAAAATTAATCTTTTGTATGAAAATTTTACCATAGTGTTTAAGATATGTATGATATATCAGGTGTGAAATGCTTTTGTTTATAGAAATGTAAAGGCCTATGTCAATTTCTAATGACTGAAATTTCGTTGATGCAGATACTGAGACTATATGCTCAACAATATGAATGTACCAGAAGAAATGTGTATAATTTTTTTATCTTATTTATTAGACAAACTATTAAATATAGATTTTTATTATTTAAAAATCTGTATCCAAGAGAAAAGATAATTCCAGTATTCCATTCCCTTTATTCTGTATGTAATTATTGTGACTGGAAATGATATATGACTGATGGATAATAAAGTGTTGTTTTAAATATAAAATTTTGCGTTTTATAAATTAATGCCATAAACATATTTTTGTAAAATTTCAACTATATATTAAGAAACTAATTTATATTTCACAAGGCAGTTCATTAAACAAAGCTAGTGATTCTTGATCATTGTGTTCAAATTGTTGTAGATCGTCGTCAGTATCATCATTCACATTTTTTGACTGGAAATCTTGTGGAATAAAAATTTTCATCAATGAATACAATTCGTCGTTTTCAGGAATTTTTTTCCAATTAATTTTTTTCATTGCTGCTTCTTTAAAACAGCACTTCCTAAACATCATACAATGCAGATGAGGCAATTTTTCATAGCATATTCTCATAAAACCTAATTTTGCTAAAACTACTTTCCAAGATGTATTTATAATTTTAGCATTGGAGCCTTGATGCTTTGAATCTGGAGTAGCAATAAACAAAATGCCTCTATCACGTAATAACTCATATGCTTTTTTGCAGCACGAGAATCTTTGATCAGGGCATGGAATGTATTCTAGTAGTAATGAAAATATCACAACATCGCAAGAGTTTTTGGGCAGTTCGATTAATGCATTGTTGCACTCTGTTACTTTTCTTTCACTGCCCACATTTAAATTTAGGAAATCACACTTGAGAACATCACTTGAATAGGGAGCTATATCTACAGCAGTTACAATAAAGGAATTTTCTGTAGCAAAAGGATTATAACAACTACCAACATCTAAAACAGTTATTTTAGATATTACCCAAGCCTCAAAATTTTCAACTCTTTCAACTCTGCAAGATTCTGGAGTATCCTTTTCCAGTAAGTGTTGCTCTTTTTCATCATACTTATCAACCCCACCATTGAAAAAATAATCTTTGCATTTACTTTTAATCCATTCCACTCTACAAGATATTTTTTCTGAACTTTGAGATTTTTGACCCCAATGCTTGGTTGCGAGTTGATACATTGATTTTGCATACTCCTGAAAATTAAAAAAATACTTTAATCATCTACTTGAAGGAAAACAAATAATTCGATTGGCATACCTTTAATTTTTCTTTTTGTGCAATATGCGTGTTCCATGCTTCTTTAGCTCCAAAAACCTCAGAATCTTTACGTAATTGTGTATGAACACTTTTGATGAAATGAGCCAACTGCTTATGTTTTTCCGATGCCTTATTTACCTTTTTTCTATCAGTTTTCACATCAATTTCCCGTTTTTCTTCCATCTCCGCAGGTTAGAACGCATTAATTTTAGTTTATTTGTATTGCAAAGGAAAACTAGTTTGCAATTTGTTCAATACATTTTATAATTGTAAATTATTTAACATCATTAGAAAAAAATTTGATCCGTAACACTGTACATATTCACTCGTTATAATTTTTAAAACAAATGACTGAGCAAAACACTCGTTAACGTTCGAAGAGTGACACAAGTGAAATGCTTATTTTTTTAACAATTATTATACACGTAAAGCTTTATCTAGTATTATTCATGATAGTTTTTAAGTAAATGCAAGGCGCTTAAATTAAATTTAAGTCGCCTCCCCCTGTTTTATATTTTTTCAAGCAGTTTAATGCCCAATTCTGCAGCCACGCAGTTTTGAATTTGGCGCCAAATCTACAGGAGCAGAAAGTCTTCTGCGACTCGGTCGGTCGCTCCCCCTGCCGTGGATACTCTCGACCTTCGGTCTTCGTAGGAGCACGCGAACGCGACAACAAAATATATCCATCCCGTGTATTTTCACTGGGGTCGGAAAAAGGTACGTAAAATTTAACTATTTCCTCGTTATTATCATCATCCGCAAGGCCCAAGCAGCCCTCCTTGACAATAACAATCCCCATACAAGACGGTCGAGCGAAAAAAGAGCTCACTCTCGCGCACCGAGACATATTTTCCAACGACGATTAGGTAATGTGCACTCGTTCCGTCTTTTTTTCCCTTGCTGCTGCTGCTGCTACTTTTCTACGCATATATCTGTACGCGGGGTGCGGATGTCACGATTTTCGTGCTTTTCGTGATTTTTCTGTGATTATACGGAAGACACACTTGTTCAAGAACCAAATGTTCTTATGTCATGTGATTCGCCCACAAATATACTTATTACTTTGTTTACACTACTTACAAGAGCCCCTATATTTCGTGCACGTTGACACCCAACTCGTTGGATGTGACAGTGATGGACTTTAAATGGAAAAATAACTTTGAATCATTTCAATCTTGCGAGATAAGCTGTAACTATGAAAAGTTTATAATATACACCATAATCTTGATTAATTCTTACACATTTATAGACATTTTTTGTAACTTGAGGATGTCAGTCTAAAGTCTGCCAACAACTGAAATTCAATTATATATTAAAACTTGCATCTTGAGGCTACATGATTCTATTTTCTATAGTACTTCAACATTTTGATTATTTTTCTTGTTTCAGGTTAAAATGGCTACCAGAGCCTTAACAGCCGTCCTGCGCTGTGCAGTAAACAAATCACAACAGACTCGATCTTTGTATACCATTCAAAATAAAATTGGAAACCGGGAGATTGTTGGTTTCGGAGTGAACTCAGAACCCATCTACATAGATGCAACTGACTTCCCAATGCCTGCCATCCGGTTTAAGGAAGTTACACCTGATATACAGGTACTGTAAAGCTTACTGTGTTGACGTGATGCTTAGAAGTTGTATCTCTAATAACAAAATGATAATGATCTAAAGGCTCTGAGGGGCAAGGAAAAAGGAGATTGGAAAAAACTCACGATTGAAGAGAAAAAGCAATTGTACAGAGCGAGCTTTAGACAAACTTTTGTTGAAATGGAAGCACCAACTGGTGAATGGAAAATGATCTTGGGGGGCGTTTGCATCGGTACTGTTCTTGCTCTATGGATCGTTGTTTGGTTGAAAAAATATGGTAGGTCATAACGTTTTTTTTGTTCTCTTGTACTGTTTGATATAGGATTTAACGTATCATGGCTTTTTTCAGTTTATCCTCCTCTACCAATTTCGTTTACCCCAGAATACAGAGAAGCACAACTTCAACGCATGCGATTACTTGATATGCAACCCATTACAGGAATCCCTGGCGGCCGTGTTGAGGTTTAAGAAAACAAATATCCTTTTAGTAAGTGCTGCATTAGTGCAAGTTGATACAGCTATACTATTGCAAAACTTGTAACAATCTGTGCATTGATTCATACGAATAAAATTATCATAGATCCATTATTCACGTAGCGTCAGTTGATTATTCGAACTGCAATATTATTCAATGCAAAACAATGATTATTGTACTTTTAAACCGACATATACACCAAAGCGTTGATAATTATTTTTCGTATGTTTGAAATCCTTCAATTACACAACGTTATCTGATTCATTTTACCAAACAGTAATAAATAAACTATTATTGATAAAATAAGTATGTAGTCGTGATTTCCACTTTGGTATCCATTGAAACAGATGAACGAATTTATTGTTCAATCTAAATGTGAATAGATAATATTGTGCAATAATAAACACTAGGAATTTTGGGAAGAGTAAGTTTATTATTTAAACATGGTACATGTGCTTATAACTCGTTAAAAATCTAAACAATGAAATCGTAAACATGTTACATAATCATATTGTATTATTAGCATTATTGACGAAAAGCCGTAAATACATTTTTTAGTAATAAATAATGTTAACTGCTTATTTATTTTTCAACGAATAATCAAAACAATTATTGTTTAAATCCAAGAAACCACACATTTGTTTATTCTTTTTTCTTTAATTTTCATTAAAACCCAATTGTCTCTGATTACGTAATGCCTTCTTCATATGGCAGATACTACCATTTTTTACCGAACAAAAAGAGCGCACGGATAAGCCGTAAAAAACCAATACGTTAAAAATAGCACCTTTTTTTTCCACCAAAACACGAAATCGATTGGCTGCAACGCATCTTATACCCTTGAAAATTTGCTTATCCGTCAAATACAATGTGCCTGATGTGGTTTTCCCTCGGACGCGAAACCGATCAAACCGATCGATCGTGAAACAACTCGTACTTGAAACTGTATACTTACAGATGCACGGGCCACCCGTACCGGCGCAAAAAGAGAGAGAGGGAGAGAGAAAAAACCGAAGCCTCAAAAGGGAGGTCCGGGGATCTCATATCGGCCGTAAAATTCATCCCTCGCACGGAGCAAGTACCTATGCGCATTAATTCCCCATCAGCGCGCGCGCTGCATCGGGGCCCTCAAAAGACCCTCATTTGCGGCACACGCTCCCTACACATATACATGCATACATGCACCCTCTCTCCGCGTACGTGTACTGTATAAGTACACACACCCATCCACCGACGCAAAAACCGCAAGAGAAGCGTTGGGGGGTAAAGCAGTTGGGGAAAGGGAGAGGCTCAGCGTATACATACGCGTGATGAATTTTTTAAGGATAAAAAAAAAGGAAAAATAGCAGCAATATGCAAGTGCGGTATAGGTGTATGGCGTGTACGTGACACCCATGTTGGCGGGCTCCCCGAGCTCTCGACACACCGCGCGCGTTATTGACTAATCTCTCCATCCCCCTCGCTCTCGTATCTATTCTACCCTCGTGTCGTCGGCTGCCGCGCATGCATATCATCTCTATACCCACACGCATACAGATATATTATATACCAGGCTATCCGTGTGACACCGCGTGTATTTTAGAGTGAACCACCCTCCGCCCTCGACTGTACCCATGTAACCTCCACGTTCCTTGTGTTTTTCCCCCACACATATACCTGTACGTCTCAACGTGTATTTCGGGGAAAAAAATCGGGCCTGTTTCATCATTTTTCCCTTCTTTTTTTTTTTTGTTGCCATTCTTTTAATTATTACAACAACGTTACTTTCGTCACTGACCACTTACCAACGACTTTCAGGGTGAAAAATAAAGCAGCTTTGCACCGGCAGGGTGGAAAACGTATATTTTGCGCACGATGTGAAAACAAACAACAACAACAAAAAAAGAAGAAATTAATGGATCGGATGGAGGGTCCAGACTCGGATGAAACGTATTTGTTTGTATACGTATTGCGATGAAAAGTAACAACCCTTTTAATGAAAAACCTATACCAAAAGTGTGTGTTATCTATAAAACTGGACGGGGAGGGCCGAAAATTCAAAGTGGAGATCTACGAATGTAACGGATCGATTACTTTTTTCTTTTTTGAAGGCTGCACTGAAAGGAAAATGTACGTTCCCTCGATAAAATTTATCCTCGACAACAGATCGACTAGACTATCCACTTGGATTTTTGCAATCGAGGTCACTCTAATTCCACATTGCACACACACGCGCGGTCCATCAGCTAATCTTGAAGTTGCTGTGCGTCACTCTTTTCTTTTTCTTTTTTTATCTCCATCCACTCCCAAGTGGCTCGAAAGAATAATTTAAAAAAAAAAAAGCAACCAACGAAGCCCCCGAAAGTGTATACTCATGGAAGCGAAAAAGCGCCGTTTTATTCCTTGGGGAAGGGGTGGGAGGGACTGTTTTAAGTAATAAAAAAAAAAGGGAGCCGACTTTTTTTTCCATATCTCGCTCTTTGCCGGTTGGATGGCGCGTGATTATACGCTGTGCTATAATTTTTGTCGCGGTCGCATGCCGTACCGGCGTTAGATTACTTATTTTTAATCGCCGAGCGTGGTTGTCGCGTGTCGGGGGTACACTTACCGAAAGGGAGCGATGATGAATGCCGACTTTATTTTAACCCACGACCGCACGTAAAGTGGCGAGGGACGTTGATATCTTTATTTTTCTCTCCTGCACGTGTCATATATACCTTTGTATCCCCAGCTCCTGCGGCTTGCGTTGTTGGATGAATATTTTATGAACGAGGTGTACGATGGGGGCAAGTCATTTTTTTTTTCTTTTTTTTTTTTTTTTTTTTTTTTCAAATTGTAGGTATTATGTGCTGCGAGCAGAGGTAATATTAGGGGGTATGTGTAGTTATTGCAATGGAGCTCGCTGTCCGAGATAAAGGCAATCTTTGTGCCAACTTTTTCGCCGATTCGCCAACAAAACACACGAAATAGGTGCAAAAACTTTGCTCGTTGTTGTTTGAGCCCTAGTGCTCTTATTCGCGTGATATCGAGCGTTAAATTCTCCGTTGAAGGCTGCGTTAATTTTTTAAAACAACTCATTGCTTAATTTTCTCTCCGCAGCCCAAAGTTTATGCATACACGTAAAAATTGTTCACTTGTACTCATGCCTCGGACATTATTGGTAAAATATACAGCTCGAATTTCAGCTTCGCACACGAGCATAGTAGGTTTTCTAAATAATACATGGAATCTTTTTACATGTCCATCGCTTACTATTGACAGCATCATGCTATCGATCATTAAAAAAAGAGAAAAATTAGCTTCATCACCAAGCAAAACTGTCAAAAAACAATCGGTATGGAAACATAATTAAAAATCAAAACAAACTGGACTTGATTGATTCGACGCCATTTTAGGCAACGAACCGACGAGTAAGTATATTATACAGTGATGCACTCACGCACGCGTCGATCGATTTCTTAATTTGCGCAGTTAACGACAATCTTTTTTTTTTTTTTTTTTTTTTTTTTTTTTTGTTCTTTTGTACCGAGCAGGCGAATGTAGGCCTTTTTTTTATTGCTCGTGCTTTTCACGCGCTGAAAACAAAGGTGCGTACCTACCTACTTGACGAGTTTCCTTTCACCTCATTTTCTCTAGAGGCTGCACGCCTCTGTCGTATATGCACGAGCTGAAAAATCCTAGCTTTGAAGCGTTTGGTTGGGATTTTTTTTTGTTTTATGTATTTCGTGTTTTTGCATTAAAAATTTATTATTTTCATGAGGCGGTTTTTTAATCACCTCTCTTCATTATTAACAAGATCAGAGGTAGTCGTGGTTTCGGTGTGTAATTTTTTTTTTTTTTCCACCATTCGTTAGGTTACGCGTAGCTCATGTTGGTCCAACAACTGAACGTAGTTTAGTTTTTTTACATGAAAATTTTCAATAACTCACGGAAATGCAAGTAATAAAATAGACTCAGCTATGAGTTCCAGAGTACTATCAAGTTCATAACGCGATCGCTGACTTTCTTCTTTATTTTAAACAAAATAATCAATATTCATCCACATTTTTTTAATTGTCTATATTAAAACACGAGTCCTTTAAAATTACGACGTTATTCCTCGATTCGACAATTTTAAACTGGAAAAAAAATGATTTTGAGATAACAATTTTATCTGCTTATACAAAGGGTGATTATTTCAATGGCCTTTGGTATCCCCTTATCTCCCCTTATTTAACTTGTGCAAAAAACCCACTTGATTTTTTTATTGTCCATTCGAGCACTGCTTAATATTGAACTCTGCAAAAGATAAAGAAAGATGTAAGCTTCTCGAAAAAAAAAATTCAGCAAAGAAGCAACGAGTAGACGCGCGGGCAATGAAAAAGACGTGTCGAGCAAAGGAAAAATTCTCTCCCCTCTCCCTATACCCCCATCGCGTCGACATGATGAGCGAGAAAGGAGAAAAAGGAGCGGATAGTGCACACATTTATATATATTTACATGAGGTGAGGGTGGCGGGAAATTGAAATTTTCATTTCCTTGCTATAGAGAGCCGAGAAAAGAATCCTCATATAATAGCGGCCGGCTCGTTCACACGCAGCGGGGAATCCCCCTCCCCCCTCCTCGTTCTAATTTGAATGATAATTCACGCGACTCTAACGTACACATATAAGTATATAGTGCAGGAGCGCGCGAGTCCTCGAGGATGAGGAGGCAGTTCTCTGCTCCCGATGTGTGTACAAAGGAGGCCACTCACCTTCTTCCAGAGTCGTTGGGGGGGGGGGGGGAATAGATGCACCGGGAGGAATTTTCGAGCGCGTGTCGTCTGCAGCTGCGTATACATGTATATACGTGGAGAGGCGGTCGCAAGAATGAGGGAAATCTAATAAGAAAAGGCCGGGCTGGGGAAAAAGAAGAGAAAAGCTTTTGGTATATATGTGCGAGAGTGAGTTGGGGGAGCTGGAAAAAGGAGGAGTTGCGTTCTATATATATATATACATTATAGGAGTTGTGAGGGGCACTGTGCGAAATGAGAAAGGGGAGCTAGGAGGAGGAGGAGGACGACTGGAACGAAGAGACGAACGATTAACGGAGCAGTTAAAACGTACGACGTGTGTACTGTATAGGTACATGTATATAAACGTTTCTTCCACCGTCTGCGGCAAAACTGTATACATATATACAATTCAGGATTTTATTCCACCTTAACACGTCTATGTTTTATTTTGTTTTTTTAAGGATTGAGACACAGTGGAGGGAAGCGGACTACTACTACTATGCGAGTCAGAGGAAAACGAGAAAGGGGCGGTGGGGGAGTAAAATAACGACGGTGATTAAAAAAGAGACGGGGAGGAGAAGGGGGAGAAGGCAACGAAATTCGAGGGAAATAAACAAACGAGCCGAATAACCGGGCGCGAGCTTTAAAACGAAATGGACAGGCGAGTCGCGGGATATGGAGTTGGAGGTGAATCAAAAGCGCGATTTACCCACAGCGTTTTTCCGCGCGCGGGTAAAAAAGGGGAGGGAGAAGTGGAGAAACGATGCACAAAAGGCTCCCGGGTACGGGAGGTGGAGCGCTGCCGTACAGGCCCCCAGATGACAAGCTAGCATGGCAAAAGGACGTGGTTATAAAGAGGGGGGCCGGTGGGGGGAGCAAGGGGGGCCAGAGTCGGATAAGGGGAGTATAGGCAAGCGATGACGAGTACATGGGGAGAAAATAAAGAGTAGGTGGCAAAGGACGGTGGGACAGCAGACGCGAGAAAAAAGGAGCGAGTAATCTCGCGCTCGCAAGATCACCTCAAAATTGTGGTTGAGGGGGGGAGGGGAGATAAAAAAATAGGCACACGTGATCGTGGGGGGGGGGCTACCTTTTTTTCTTTCTAAATCTCTCTCTATATTTGTGCTTCACGGACAGCTGCGGTTATTTCGATGAGGTGTGGTAGGACTCCACTGATGAGGGTATTGGCGCACATAGTGGGGAAATCCGAGGGGAAATCTTTGTTAACGGCGTTAGCGTGGTATTTCAAAGCTGCAGCTCCCATCTGTCCGTGGAATCTGTTTTTTTCGCCTTTTCGTTTAAATGAAAAAGAAAAAAAAGAAAAAAGCTCAATGCGCGCGTCGAGGAAAAAAGAGAGAGGACGTATGAAAAATAAAGAGGTGGTGTGCACATGGAGCTTTTGTGCCCAAGACCTGACCGCGACTAACCCACATATACGTTAGCGCGTGCACACACACGTGGAAACTCGCTGTTTTTCAAAGCGACGCGCGTGTGTGTGGCGTGAAAGCAGCTAAAGGCTACATGTGCAGTCTTTTTTCTCAACACACTTGGCTGTTCTCTCTTGAGTGATTTTTTTTTCTTCCTTTTCCCACCTCCGTGTCTCCGTTATTTTTTTTTTTTTTTTTTTTTTTTTTTTTTCCACGCTGATGAAAGGAAAGCATTAGCACGACTGACCCAAAATGAATATATTTTTTTTCCTTCTTCTTTGCTCTTCCATCCCCGCTGCAGGCCCCTTTGGAAAAAAAGAGCTTTCATTAAGATGGTTCGCAACGTTGACCCTCGAATCTTTTATACTCCGCGTGAAAGGAGCTTCGAGCGCGATTTTCACCCTAAAAACAATAAGAAGGGTTTTATGATCCAAAATAATAATAATAATAATAATAATACAATATATACTGTAGAATGGAAGACGGGAATGTGGGTTGTCCTCGTACCCTACTCGCCCCCGAGACGCACGATCAAAACCCTCGACGACGATTGCCCGTGAATCCGGAAGCAATCGATCCCCGTCCAGCTCCCCCAGCCCCCTTCTGGGCGTTATTCTTCTTCTTCCTTTCCGGAAAAATCCGCTTAGCTCATCATCCGTGCACGAGCCCGTGTCTGGCCCCATCCGAGGAAGAAGAGCTAAAAGAGAGTATTTGTACAACCCCTCGACTCTCGATCGGACTCGACGGCCCGTGTTTAATACCTTGGGTATATCACACACACCCACACACGTGCGCCCTGGAAAAGCTGTAAGCGCGTGCGCGAGGGTGAGCCGATGATTTTTACCGCCGTCGTATCTTCCCATCGCCAATGGGCATCGGGTACAAGTACGTGTAGGTACGTGAAGCACACATTGCAGTACATGTAGGTATGAAAAATACAGAATCGGAGGGTAAGAAAGAAGCCGCGTGCGAGCAAGTTGGGTGTACGTGTATATAAACACGTATAGGCGTGGATCTCACTTCGTCGTGGTAAAAAGTCGAAAGAAAGCAAGGAAGAAGGTGCGCGGGGGTGGGTAAACGAGTCACGCAGGCGCAGCCATCCTCTCCCCTACGCGTACTACCCTTCGCTTCAGCTGTATACCCTCTCGTTGTTGTGTACGAGCGTGCGCGCATGCGGGGTTGAAACGCGGCGGGGGCGGAGGGGAGGCCGATAGCTAGACCCGGTCCGCAGCGCACACACACGCGCGCAAAAGATAAAAGAGGTATACGTACGTGCACCCACTCCGCGAGGGGTGGCTCTGTTCTCCCTCGAGGTGTGTGTGTGTGTGTGTGTTGGGGGGGTGGGGAGCACGACTCGATACCACACCGTGCGCTCTATATACTGCGGATGTGGCGCTCGTTCTCCCCCTCCTCACCCGCCGTCACTGCCGATGGCAGTTGTGGTGGTGAAAAAAAAAGCCACCCCCTCCCCCAACTAACGGGACGGACGAAGGCGGCACCACGTACGAGGCAGTGCAAATTTCGCCGTCGACGTGCTCGTTGCGCACTTGGCGCCGACGATTGCACGATTTTATCAATCGATACAGTATATTTATATATATATACACATCCTACTGATCTCACGCATATAATAATAATAATAATTATTACCCAAGGCAAAAAAAAAGGAGAAATATATACTTAGCACCAAGTGGGTGTTTTTTTCGGAGAAGAAAAACGAGATAGTGTGTTTTTTTTCTTTTTTTCTTCGTTGTTCAGTTCCTTCGTTGCTGTTGCTGGTTTTTTTTTGTTTTTTTGTTTTTCTTTCTTTTCTTTTTTTTCCATCACCCAGTGATTGTTGGTGTTGTTGTTTCCGCTGTTGCTGCTGTAAAAAAGAAACCAATTGTTTGTTTGTTTTTTTTTTGTGCGGGTGCAGTTGACGATTCTTTTTTTGATATTATTTCACAGTAAAAAGCAAAAGCCCTTTGGCAGTCGGGCGCAAGAAACGTTATAGGGAGCCCCAAGTGGTGCCACCGCTGGAAGAAAGGGGCGCCAGAGGGCGACACCTCCGCGCCACCGCTCTCTCCTTGAACCGTCGTCGTCATCGTCCCCGTCCTATACATATATATATACATACACCCACGTTTCGCATACGCGCGGCGGAGCTCGAGTGAAAAGCTCCCGTCTTGTCATTGTTGGGTTGTTTTGTTTTCCATCAACTCGAGGCCCCCGAGGAGGAGAAGGAGGGACGCAACACTCTAGACCCACTATTGCACGCAACAGCCGCACGGCCGTCACGATGGGGCTAAGGGCGCTGCTGTTGCTCGTCGCTGCCCTCGGCGCCTCGGAAATCCAGGTGAGTGATCCTCGTCGTTTTTGCGCATTGCCGTCAAGGACTCGCACGTAGTACATATATTATATACGTATACGCTCGGACACCCCTTCCCCTCTACCTCTCGAAGCAAAAGCTCGATTTCTCGCCGGAAGCTCGTTCGCGCTTGCGTACACATGGTACACGCATACCTACTAATGTGAAGATTTCTTTTTTTTTTTTTTTTTCTTTTTTTCCCACTCTTCTCTTCTTCAATAGCAGGTGATATATGTGTAGGGTGAGTCAGGCTAAACCGATGCGGTGCCAATATATATATATATTTCATCATGGCGTACGTGTATACGTGGGTTGGGGGAGAGAGAAAGAGCGGGAGGTTAGGGCTGTTTTTTCCTGGTGGCGTCCGTCGCGGGGATGCCTACGGCGTTGCTCTTCCTCTCCTCCTGCCTCGTAGTTCTCTTTTTTTCTCTCCAGGTGTACGTACATCTCGTTGATGGGTATAGCGTCGCGCGAACACTGGCTCTTCGTACGATGATTTTTGTACGTGACGAGGGTGAAACCACCCTCTGGCCCACGAGTTTCTTTGTTTGGCGCTAACGAGTGCGGAGTACCTCGACAGGTACATTGTGTATGCTTGTACTATTTTCGTTAGTCACGCAGATAAAAAGATCTTACATGGATTATTATTCGGATCGAAGCTGAAAAGTGGCAGTGTGGGGGGTGCGGGGTACGGTTTGTTCATCGCTGCGGAGTCAATTCGTACTTAAGGGAGCGAGTCGGAGATTAACGGCGCGTCGATTGCAAATTTCAGGGATAACAAACTGCAAATTCACTTCGTACTCCAAAGGCTGGATTTTTTTTTTTCTTCACTGTGACTCTCGTAGGGGCGGTAAGAGAGAGAGAGAGAGATATATGTTCGATTTTACCATTTTTCATCGGGATTGGCCGTAATTTACAAAGCGGCAGCTTATTCTCGAGAAAAATGAGTCCTCGTTAGGTACGTTTCATCCGAACTCGCGGTGAAGATCGAAACCACTTTTTTTTTTTTTTATTAAGCTGCAAAATAATGTTTAAGAAATGTAATCCTTCCAACGAAGCGTGTATTTTATGTCAAATATTTAACACTTTTTCTGGAGTTTTCCTCTGTATACTTCCCAAAAATTCGAATCTGGAAAAAACAATGAGAAAAAAAAAAAAAGTTAGGAATGACAATAAAAAAAAGGTAAAGCCGAAAAACGCGTATGAACAATTATATTCATCGATTGAAACCCACACAGAAAAAAAAAAATACATTATCCAAATAAACGTATGAGAGTACGTGACAAAACAAAATTAAAGAAAACTTGGGACATGAGCTCATACTCCTTCCCGATGTACAGACATGTCGCGGCAATAACGTAAAACGAAAAAAAAAAAAAAAAAAATATAAGCTGACACAACTTTTGTGTTCTTCCCCTTTTTGTAAGTAAATGACGAAAAGTGCATATACATATAGTGAAGATGGAGGAAAAAGTAAAGGCTAGAAGGGATGAATAAAAGGAGGGATCCATTATACTCTTTGAGTATCGTGAGAAGGGCCGATGCAAACCACTAATAAACGTTTCGGTGGATCAATATAGTGCACACCTGCCTCAATGAAGACACGTTTGTATAGTCGAAACGAGGTCAAGCGCACCCACCGTCTTATTGAAATATCGTAAAAATAAAGTGAAAATTCCAAGGAGATACAATTTAAATTCGCTGCAGTGGCGTTTGCAAAAAGAGTCTTGTGCTCCCTCGGTCGCGGATGAAATAACGATTTTGAGCTTTACATCACACACACGTACACGTAAACGTACGTCCTATACACAGTTGGTGAGAGAAAGAAGACAGAGAACTCGAGTATCGTCGGAGAATAGTTGCGGAAAGCCCGGCGGAACTTTTGGTTCTCCTTCTTCTCGCGAATCAGTTTTCCATGTTATACTCACCATATATACGTATATAGCTATCATGTATATATATATAATATAGAGATACTGTACGAGTAGACGTATATGCCACGGGATGGAGGGAATATATTCGCAAAGGAGTTACACCCAAGTGTAGTGAGAGAGGGACTTTTCAAATGCAGGAGCGAGTCACCCTTTATACCCTTTTGTGTATGTAAGGTATATCTCTAGTCATATATATATATGCACCGAGTTGAAGCTGAAAGGACGACCAGTCCTCGTGTCTATATGTTTCGATGGTTGCATGTATATACGTAGAGGTACAGAACTTTTGTTCCTATTTGTTTTTTTTTTTTTTTTTTTTTTTTTTTTTTTTTTTTTTTTTTNTCAAAGCGACGCGCGTGTGTGTGGCGTGAAAGCAGCTAAAGGCTACATGTGCAGTCTTTTTTCTCAACACACTTGGCTGTTCTCTCTTGAGTGATTTTTTTTTCTTCCTTTTCCCCACCTCCGTGTCTCCGTTATTTTTTTTTTTTTTTTTTTTTTTTGTCGCGCAATGCTCTCTCGTCGTTCGGTTACTCATGCGCGAGCGTATAATTGAGAAAAAACACCGGAGCTCGAAAGCAAAACGAAAATCAAACCCTTTGCACAAAGTGACCCCTCTGTCATCCCTTTCCTCGTTAGCGCAAACAACGATCTTTCCTGATGGCGCGTCCTGCTTCGTTGTTTTTGTTGTTCCATACCTCGATGTATACGAGCGGTACGAATAGTGATTTTTTTTTCCTTTTTTTTTTTTAATTTTTAATTACAAACAATAATATCTAAAGGTCACAGCTTTTTCTTCATGATAAAGTCGTATGGCATTTTTAGAGACACTGCAAACAACAGTGTGACTTTTCAATGTACCACATTAGTGGAGATTGCTTTTTCTCGAAATCTGCTCGTGGTAACCTACGTAGGGCCACCCAAATGGTGAATTTCAGGACCAATTGAATAAGGTAGGAGGGAAAAAAGGAACGAGAATCAAGGTAGGCCAAATAAGACCATCGCATTTGCAACAGCTCTTGTCTTGCTAAAAAAAAAAAAAAAAAAAATGCTAACACAAAACCATGTTCATACAAGACAATCACAAGCATCTATAAATGGCGTACGATTTATATATATATATTTTTATCTTCATTTTAATACCATAATAATTTTATAAGACAGCACGAGCATCAGCAACCCAGAGAGGAGCAAAAGATGGGTGATGGAGAGCTAAGGGAATCGCGAGAAAGTTAAATGAAAATACCAAGAGGTCCGCGGTCGCGTTACTTCATTATTAGTTTACCGGGTAAGGGGTTGGGGGGAGGGGCGTAACATCTATTGTACATGCGTAATGTTATGTAAATTAATTAATTATCGACGGGATACACTGTCCCAATGCAAAATGACAAAATTTTTCCTCGGAATATCGTGTATAATCGCCATCGTTTAAAATAATAATAATAATAATAATAATAATAATAATAATAACAACATCAATAATGATGGTAATGCTCATATCTCGATACGCAGTCAATAATAGGCGCACCCAACAAGGGATTCACGGTTCACGTGTAGTTGTAGATGTTGTTGTTGTTGTTGTTTTTTTCATGTGCATATTCCCCAATCTGTGGCTCGATATGACCCACAATTATCTGTGCACTCGACGCTCGCTTCAAGAGCAAACGTATCCGAGGATTTGTCGATAAAGGTGCGGATTATAATTAACGTGCTCGATGAATACATCGCGAATCTCGCCGAGCGTGTATGGATATGATGCGCAGACGGAATGGGTAATGGAAAGGGAGTGATTTTCGCGGTCGAACGGAGATCAGAAGTGGAGTAAATTTTACTTTTAAATCAAAGCTCGAAACTAACTCCAGGAATGAGAGGTCGACTAATGTTGTATAGGCTGTACATAGTGGTATTGTTTTTGAAGGATGTTGGTACCAAAAAAAAAAATCACGATTCGACGTTGCTTTGTTTTATTTTTGTCCACGTCGAAAGGTATATTATTGGCCGGTGACATTAAATTTTGATAGCTCGTCGTATCGGCTGTGCCGGACTTTAATATTTCGCGGGTATACCTACGAGTGCATGATACATAATTATACGCGAGTTTGGAATATTCACGGTTTTCCGGCGCCTCCGAGTCTCGACGGCGCATTAATCCATCGTACATTATCCAAAGGAGTCGAGTTGTTGCACTGAAAGTTTGTTACCCACATAAAGTCGGGGACAAAAAAAAAAAAAAAAAAAAAAAAAAAAAAAAAAAAAAAAAAAAAAAGAAAAGAAAAAATAAAAGAAGGGAGTGTATCGAAACGCGTATATACATTTGTTGGAGAATCCGCGGGGTAAAGTTAAATATAAGATTCAAGTTTTCGAGGACCAAAGCCTCAAACGTCCCAACCATCGGACCTTCAAAGTTGCATACTTCCCCTCGGAAGATGACAGAGCCATTATTTCCAAAGGCACGTATACTTGTTACAATTACATTCCAAGAAGTTCGGCTTCTAACGCCCGACGAAGACAATTAGTTCGCCAAATTAATATAATACATAAGCTGCGTGGATTTGACACTAGATCAGCTGTAATCTTAAACCAACCATGAACAAATAGTCGAAGTATCTCGCTACATACAATATCATCGGCCAACATTTGGCGTCAAAGGCAATATCGATTAGCGCGCGTAGCGTGTGCGGTTCGATCGGTAATAATTGACGGTCAATCGTTTTTTCCCCGCCCCCCAGCACCCCATGTTAACGTATACATGGATAACCATGTTCCGAAGCCAATGAGTTCACGCGTACGGAAGACCAAAGGACGGCGCATCATGTGTTCCATTCACCATACATATAGAATCACGGGACCATATCAAGTTTACATAATTACTTGGTCGGAGAGTGACTTATTTTTTGGTGGGCGTTGGGGGAGCATTTCGTTGGTGACGTTTAGTTTTGCAAGAGCTCGGTTGTGTATATCAGCGATCGCGGCACGAACCAACCCCCGACATTTGTAGCCCACACCTCCCCCCCCCCCCTCGGTGTCTTTCTGTCGCGCGTAGGGCGTTAGACAACA